ACGTTTTTTAATCCGACATGCTCAGTAGTCTGACGCACCTCCCGTCAAGGCACCCGTCCCCGTTACGTGTCTGCTTGCACAGAAGCATGTCGCGATGTGAATCTCCCCATCCAATTTTTACACGATGACACACATTTCGTGTGTTTTATGTGAGCAGTTCTGTTCGAACAGTTGGAGTAGAGAATATTGTAAGTTACTGCTAGCAAAACAATGCGAAATATGTAATTATTTTCAGTAATCCAGACACTTTTGGTAATCTGACACACCTTTGGTCCCATACCTGTCAGATTATCAAGGGACAACTGTATATGAATGATTTATACTGTTAATTATATATGAGAATAAGTGATTATATATATCATAATCACTTGTTCTCATATGCAGGCTTCCTACTCAAATTTTTGTTTTAAATTCCATGACTTTCCCTGACCCTCACGTTCCTTACAGTATGGCACATTGACAAAATAAAACAGTATTTGACTTACTATGCACATATGCTATTGCTTCTCCAATTTTTTAGTTAATTTGGCAATTATAAAAAATAACTATTAAAACTAAAAAATAAAATGTTTTTTAAATTAAAGTAGTTTATTCTGTTATTAATCCACAACCATCAATCTAAATGGCTTTGCAAAAAAATGCAATTATTTATCTGTTATTCATTAACAAAGCCTATGTAATCCATATAAAAAAGAATATATTTATTTTAAAACTTAAAATGCTTATATATGATGCCAAATATACATAAGGAAGAAATTGTACAGTCTTTCAGTGTTGGAATTATTTGTTTGATGAATTAAATACATGTAAGTACATTCAACATTTCAAAATGTCATCCTAAAGAGAAAAAATAACACACAAAATTGGAATATTGATTTAAAATCTTTTTTCACATTAAGTGAACATAAAAATGATTTTTAACCTACATGTGTTTAGTTTTTGCACGTGTGTGATTAAGTTTTGATTTAAATTTAAAACAAATATAGAAAGTATTCTCAATATACGGAATGTGAAAGAAGAAAAAAAACATCAAAAATAGATATCTATGATAAGGTTAAGTAAAATAAAGCATAGATGAGGTTAAAATAAAAAATCTAGATAAAAATTAAGGTTTAAAGTTTTTATAGTGTTAGCCTTATAACTCTAAACCTTCTTTTTAGAACCTTCTAAACAATTCTCCGGTAGCTTATTACCTTGATAATGACTAATGTTTTCAATTCTTCATCTACATCTTCTTCAAGTCAAACATAAATGTTGCGTTTTTTAAAAATGTTCTGTTCATTGAATGAGTATCCAGGTTAAATTAGCTGCACGATGTCATTATTACAAAGTGGGACATAAACTATTAAACATATTTCAAACTGATGTTTCTTTAAATTTTGTTTACTTTGATGTTAAGTGTCAAGAGGAAGTTTAAAGTAATATCTGCCATATGTAAGACAAGCATTTTTCACCTTTGAAATTGTTTTATGATGTGTCTCCCTTATTTTCAATCCCTAACAAAGAGTGCTTTCACACACTTCACTGGTAAGTGAAGTGTTGTGAACACGTTGATTTTTAATCCAAATGAAAATAAAAATCAAGAAAAAAAATGGAACTATCATACCCTACCAATGTGGTGAAGACAGAATAGAAAATTACCACAACCATAAAGAAGACAGAAGGACTATTCACAAGATTTTTACTGGACTTGTTTAGTATTGTTGTGTTACTGTCCTAATGATAATTTAGAATTCTATTAATGTATATATAATAACTTGTAATAATGGTACTATTAATGCCTATTGTAATGTTGGCAATAGTCACCATAGAGTCTATTTTTGTATGCCACAAAATTGATAAGGGCCAATAAGGCCAAATTGCATTTTGGAATAAGTTAAATAAATAGGCTGAGTGTGTAATAAGCTTGTTCATTAGTCATAAATAACTAAGTAGCTTTTGTAATTTTAAAATGCCTTTACAACTCAAACATCTGTCTCTCTCCTAGTCTTCTCTAATATCCAATGAGTCAAAAATAAATCCACATCAAATTTAATACCAATTTATGTGCTTCTGATATACCTCCTCAATTTATTCATTTAATAACTATTTCTTATCATGTATCTTAAGGATTGAAATCATTAACCCTTTGCCCTCAAAAGTACCAATCGGTTGGTATCCTCCGTTGTTAAGCAAAACTTCGAGGGTACCGATTTGTCGTTACCCTACTAAAAATTGATTTTTGTAAAATTTATTGACAAAAGATGCAAGCACTTGATGGCAGCATCTTGTCTATCATCTGTTTCACATATTTTTCTCCAGATGGTGTTTTGTTGACTTAAAAAATTTTAATTACCACTTTTTTTCTTAATTTATATTTTTCAGATAATTTTTTCATTTTTAGCATATTCATGCAATAATATTACTATAATAAGTTCATTTACGCTAGAATATGTTTATTTAGCTATATTAGGTCAATGTGTTATAAATATTCAAGTTGTGATTTTCAGTTCTGACATTTTATATATTTTTTTATTTTTTATTTTTATTTAAAATATCAGCAAATATTACATGTATTACTACTGGTAATCATGTTTATTACAAAAATTTATATTCTTGTTCAATATGAAGTGAATAAAGTATATTAGTTGATAGCAGAATAAAGTTTTGATTTCGAATAAATGTTTGATATAATGTACAATAATTTCACAACAAATGAATGTACATGCATAAGTGTTATATAGAGTTGTACAGAACAATATTCTACTTCTTTCTGGCTCGTTGCCGGCAGAAAACTAGGTAACTAAACAACGTTAATTTTGACAAAAAGTTACAAATTATCAAGTTTAAATGTCAGTTCTGATATATATTATTTTTTTAATAAAATGTATTGAAAAATATCATATTTAAAATTAAGGATATTAATAATTGTACATAATTTTTTTCATATGAATACAATGATAATTTGATTTTTGGTGAATTTTTAAAATATCGCCTGACTGACCTATATTGCTTTTGGACAGTTTACAAAATTAAGGTAAACAAGATTGCGGTGGTAAAGGGTTTACCAGTATTTACCTGTACATATCCAGTGATTTTACAGCTTCATTTTTTATCTATACTTTTAAAACTTATGTGCACATTACATGTTTGGTTGATGCAAAAGTTTCTGGAATTTTCTAGACCTCTATAGAATATTTGAAATTCTTCTATCTGTTTCTTGTGAGATATGCAAATGAAGGTTATTGAGGTTCACAATCATAAATAAAAAGTTATTCTGTGTGGTAATATCAACTTTTTAAGTATGTTCAGTTTTTCAGCTTTTTCTTGTGACCAAATATGCACATGCACTTTACAATTATCAATTTTGTATAAAAAAGGCCAAATCTTATTGCCATGTAGTGCAATCGTCTGGCAAGAGTATTGTTTCCAAGTCTACAATCTGTGATTAGTTCGATAAATTTAAAGCCAGGCAATATGAAAGTGAAGATGAACTGTAATCAGAAAGATTTTCTGTTTCATAGGATGACGAACTGCGGCAGCCAGCATAAGTTGACCCATGCCAGCCATGCAACAAATGAGCAAGAGTTTCTATGTATTAACAGGACTTATTATACTGGAAAATTATAGATTCAGATATTTAGTCTTACAGTTCAAAAATAATGTTCTTTATTTAGTTCACCTGCCCCATTCTCTGCGTTCTCCAATTCTCCAGAATTTCGGCTATAATTTTCCAGTATAATAAGTCCTGTTAATACATAGAAAGTACTAGTATACAAAATAAATTATAAATAGATTAAAAAAAAGGACAAAAAGGCATAATAATTAAACATTATTTAATAATCTATAGCCGAAATTCTGGAGAATTGGAGAACGCAGAGAATGGGGCAGGTGAACTAAATAAAGAACATTATTTTTGAACTGTAAGATTAAATATATGCATCTATAATTTTCCAGTATAATAAGTCCTGTTAATACATAGAAAGTACTAGTATACAAAATAAATTATAAATAGATAAAAAAAAAAGGACAAAAAGGCATAATAATTAAATGAGCAAGAGACTTGGCTGCAACTGATCAAACCAATGTGGTTTGTCACTTACCTGCCATTGGAAAAGTTTGCAAGATCAAGATTTGGATTTCTCACAGTCTGAATAAAAAACTTCATTATATGAAGGCATGCATTAACCTATTCCATGTTGAAATTTTTCTCCAATGTGTGTTGCTTCACGTTGAATTTTTGTTGATGTTAAGCCTAACAAAAGTTACACGTTTTATAAAAAAAATAATCGTGGCTATTGTATCATCCAAAATTATCTTTTTTATTTCACACAAACAAAATAGTCATATTAAATAAATAATTATAATTAATAATTATATTTCAGTAGTTAGTTTTAATATAAGAACAATTAACAATATCTAGTGTCAAAAACATTCCAATGCAGAAACAATATATACTAAATTGCCAAACGATCGCCTAAATATCGGGCTATTATATGGCTAATTAAATAATTAGAATAAAGTAATTTGTCATTAGAGGTAGGCGTTAGGTGCCATCTCTTAAGTAAATTAATAATTAACATTAAATAAATAAATTATTAAATTAATTTTAGAACCTTCTGGAATAAAAGAGCTGGCCCGGGACGGGGCTTGGATCCGCAACCTCCGTTTGCCGTGCGGTGCGCTTGCCAGTTACGCCACCCGGACCCCGAGCGAGTCTTCGCTTCCAAAAGTATATTAGATTAGATATAACCTTACTTGGTTAAATACATCATTGACTGGGGACGACTTCATCGCCCACGACCCCAATGGCACTCAGCCAGCTAACGTAACACCTGGCGAGGTATATATATATATAAATAACAACAACTCAAAGCCCGAATAGTATATATACTAAATTGCCAAGTAAGGTTATATCTAATCTAATATACTTCTGGAAGCGAAGATTCACTCAAGGTCCGGGTGGCGTAACTGGCAAGCGCACCGCACGGCAAGCGGAGGTTGCGGATTCAAGCCCCGTCCCGGACCAGTTCTTTTATTCCAGAAAGTTCTAACATTAATTTAATAATTTATTTATTTAATTTTAATTATTAATTTACTTAAGAGATGGCACCTAACGCCTACCTCTAATGACAAATTACTTTATTCTAATCATTTAATTAGCCATATAATAGCCCGATATTTAGGCAATCGTTTGGCAATTTAGTATATATACTATTCGGGCTTTGAGTTGTTGTTATTTATATAAACAATATATATCAGGTCCCCCAGTCAAGATCATTATGTTTTGACCTGAGATATTTCAGGAAGACAACAGGACAGGTTAAACTTCTCTCTAAGAAGCATTCTTACACATGGCTTCATATCATCGTTAGAGATAAAACTGGTGTCTCTACATCAACAACGCACAATAGATTGTGTATGGACATTGGTCAAGCAACACAAGCCACACCGAAACCAAAATTTTACCAGTACAAGGTTTTGCTGTGTATTTGGTAGAATATTTCAGACTAGTCCATTGGAAATTGTTATCATAGAGTACCACTATGACTTCCACAATCTACTGAACTTGGCTGCAACGTTTGGCAAAAACTATCCAAACTAAGTGGCCACAGGTAAACATTGTGCCACTTTCTTCATGAAATGCAAGGCCACATGTATCAAGGTTGACACATCTCAGCCAGTAGGTTCTCCACTCCCCCATACAACCCAGACACTGCACCATCCAACTACCAGCTCTTCGGCTCCTTACATACTTCTTGCAAGGAGAACAGATCTCTAAACAAAGTTCAAGTGAAAACAGCTAGTTTTATTCAGCAGGAATCCGTGGCCTGTCCAATCAATAGAATTCCTTCCATTGATAATTAAATATAATAGCAGTTATTTTCTTCAATAAACTGTTTTTTTTTGTTTTGTTTTTGAATTAAATATTTTACTATAAAAATCTAAAAAATTCCAGAAACTTTTACTTTATCCCTACATTATTAATTTTTTCTTCTTGAGGTTGTTTGTTTGTTTTGTCAAGTTGGAGAGATTTCTTTCTTACAGCTACCTTGCTTATGAATTCTTTATTTTATTTAAAAAATAAAAAATTGCTTTAAATTGAACATATAAAATTTTTAAGATTTGTTTTTTTGTATTATTGACTTTGAACATTATGAAAAGTTATTTCTTATCCTACATTCTAAATTATTGTTCATATCATATGTTATTCTATTTGTAATTAAATTACAAAAGAGTCACCTGTCACCAACCACCAAACCACAGTGAGGACAAATCATGTCACCAGCACGGTAGTCTTCAATCAACACCGCGTCGGGATGCTCAGGACACACTACTTTCGCCATGGAATTTCTGAAAATATTGAAATTTTATTGTCCTAATAGAAAAATTTAAATCATTTCTTCATTTTATATTATTATAAATGGTACCAGCATGCACGTGTATAAAGTATTTGAAGAAAGTGCATAAATTTCAATGTATTCTCAAAGTAGAATAAATATGTCAATTAAAAACAAGAAAATTGCATTTTCAATTGATGATAAATACAATTGCTACCTCACAATTCAAATGCTTCAGCGTTTCAAGAGCACGTAGTGAAAAAAAATACATTTGAAGCATAAATGAGCTATTGTGTGCCCACCCAAGTCATCTCTTGCAGTATGTTCATATGTTTTTCACATTAGCGCTTTTTTTTTTTTTTTTGTTTTTTTGGTGTATTTGATTATACATATTGTAATTCATCAATTAACAATTTCTTCTTGCAACTTTTCTTTGTATGAGGCACCCAAAGTTGTATAGCTTTGGGTGCCTCATACATTTTGTATCCTTTAGATAAGAGTTTCCCAAAATTTTAACCCACATTTGTCATATCCAAAGTTTCGGTATGTCATCTTCATATACACTATAAATTTTTTGCTGCTTTTACAGCATTGTAACCTTTTCAAAACTCACAAACCATAAAATACCTGCTTTTTATCCAAACTTTTTATCCAAACTTTTTATTTTTATACTTTTTATCCAAAACCATTTTGACTTGATTTTATCCAAAATGTGAACTAAAGTTTAAAGTCGATAAAATTACAAAACTTTCTATGGATAAACTTTAAAAGTATTGTTCTTGTCATTCCAGCAATAAATTTTATTAAATGCGTAATTTTTATGAAGGTTTAAACAACCACCAGAAGGTAATTTGTAACGTCTTGCTTGTCAAGGTGGAGAGAAGCCTCCAGATAAAGGTAGAGTCTGCTGCAAAAATTGTTGTTCCTGCTGGTGTATGAAGGAAGCGAAAGGAAGGACACTTTTAGGGCTGATTGGAAAGACAACACTTAGACACTGATGACAGTTTAGAGATCATCTAGACTGCAGTTCAGAAAAATTACATTGCAGAGACAGCAATTCTCACTTGCCACAGTTTAGACATCATTTAGAAACTAGTCACTTGACTTACTTTCTAGACCAGGGGTTCCCAACCTTGCACCCTAGGAGCTATTTACACGTGCCCGTGGCAAAGTTTTGAAATAATGAAAAAAAAATTAAATGTTAAAATTAAAGAAAATAAAAATTTACCAGTTTTAAAATCTTTCTAGATGTAGTGAAAAATTTGCTAAATTGGGCCACACTGACCATATTAGAATCATGTCTCCACGGCATCTATATTGTATGGTAGTATGGTATTACTTGTAAACTCATATTGTCATCATCATGCCATCATTGTGTTGTGTTTTTTTTTTGTAAACATTTTACTTCAGAATCAGTAATCCAAGTAAAAAACAATGATCCTATCATTTTAACAAAGATTGGGAAGACAACTACTTTGTTATTGAAAGTAAAGAGAAATGTATTTGCTTAATATGCAACAGTTTTGTGTCAGTGGCAAAAAACAAAACATCGAACGTCATTACAAAACCAATCACAGTTCTTATGAGGTTAGTTATCCGCCTAAGAAAAAGAAAATTTAATCAACTAAAATCGAAAGTATCTATCCAGCAAGTATTTTTTACATTTTACCGGCCATGTAAATAAAAATTAAAATGTCACTATTGCTCCTTTTGAAATTTCTCATTTGTTGGCAAAAACAGAAACAACCATTTTTAGAAAATGAACTATTGATATTTAAGGAAGCATTTCTCCTGGAGCTGATTCGTTATTTGAAGGATTTTCTAATAACCGAGAAATTATTTCAGCAATACAAGATTTGCCGTTATCAAACAATACAAGTACAAGAAGAATCCAGGTGATTTCAACAGATTTGGAAGTATTTCTCAAAACAATTAACTGAGTCAACAGATATATCAGATACAGACAGTAATGATAACAATGGTATTTAGTGTGAAAGAAGAACTATTAAAGTTACTATCAATGCAAGAGTGAACAAGGGGTAAGATAATATCTTTAAAAATTACTCAACAGAAATTAATTAATATGCCTTTACACAAGTTATCAGCAATAATTACTGTGGTGCACCAGCAATAATGGATTCATTTCCCATTGCAAGAAAGATGAATCCTTTCTAAACTTTATGTATTATCACTGAATCATACATCAAGAATCATTAGGTGCCAAAATATTATCCTTTGAACATGTTATGAATGTTGTTGTTAAAATAATTGACAAAATTTGAGCAAATCCTTTATCACATAGATTGTTTAAAGCCCTTGTAGAAAAGGATGAATCTTCCCAAGCTGACCTTGGTTAAATAAACAAAGCACTTGGGCAATTTTTTTGATCTTTTGGAAGAGAGAAAAAATTCCTCATTTCAAAAGGTCAAACGTTTGAACTTTAGATCAACGATCGGCAACCGGTGGTCCTCTAAAGCTAGTAAAAAAAACCATACTAAATACTCAAAATTTTTTATATTTGTAGTAACAGTTATAGTAACAGTGTGCAACTGGTTTGTGCAGAAGTGTTATACTCTTGAAAGTATAATTTTCAAATTGTCTTATTTTATTTCTTTGTCTATGGTTTCCGCCTCACTACATATGGCAACGGCACTGAATACGACGACGAGTAAAACTGCTATTTCAGTATTTAATGCATTCAAATATCTGTGGATGTATTTTGTTTGATTTTATGCAATCACATGAAACATCTCATTGTATAAGCATACAATTAAGGTAAAGTACTCAATAATTCATAACAGTGATTCATTCAATCTTTCTAATATACATTTACATACGTCTTTAAACGTAAGTGGTATCAACATTAAAAATTAATTTCTTTGTACTTGTACTCCTATGCATATGAAGTATATGTGTGAATCCGGGGCATAAGTCTCCCGTTCACTTGTCAGGAGGTCTAATTGACTCTCAAATGTCAGGTGAGTGGATGGAGAAAATTTGAGGTCGACGATAAGGTGAAGGGCGTGATCGAGTAAAGGAGTCTACCATATTTAAACAAATATAACAACTATTTATTAACGAAGCAAATTAAACAAAGACTACACAAATTGCGTTTAAACCACCTAATATGCTCGAGAGTTTCCCGCTTTTCATACCTCTTTATGGAGTTCCTTTTCCGATTAAATCTGTGGTGGCACTTAATTGTCCAAAGGAAAGTGGGTTTTATCCAAAGGAGCACAATTATACAAAGTTCGCGACTTTGGCGATGATCGTTTATCGTCACTCGTAGATCGGAATTCAGAGGGTTCAGAGATTCGGCGCGATGTCGTTGGTCCAGCGTTCGCTAATAGACTCCCCTGAGAGGGGGCAAGAACTGTCTTTTATAGGTTTTTGTGGGGAATTTCCACCACGTGATTGGATGTTCATAAGTTAAAGGTTATAGGTGTTCCTGGGATTTAAAACAAATGACGACATTTAGATGCTAACTGTAAACTTTCTTGCAAGATGAGATGCAAGTTCTGCAAAGAACAATGGATGTTGCTAGTTATGACCAGAAAGTTTACACAAGCCCAGCTAAAAATCGTTTTTTCTTCTAGGGCGTTACATAAACTAAAGTTTAATTAATTAACATTTTTGTTAATAAAAGAGCGGGATTTCCGTCACAAAAATTCCGGATCTCACATATGTGTTTGAAATCTTGCACTTATGAGTAGCCGAATACTTTTTGCATTTTAAAAGCTACATTTAAAATTATATATAATATCTTGAATATATTTAAGCAATCGAAATTATTAGGATTATATTATTTTTGTATGGTTCTAGGATCAAAAAATTAAAATGGATGAAAAGAAGAAATCAACAATTTTACATTTTTTTCACAACGTTTCAGGTAAATGTTAGTTAGTTGAAGAACCACAAGGGCCCTCACAGATTCTATCATCATCAAGCACCAGCATGAAAGAAGAAAAAACTGAAGGTCAAGAAAAGAAAACATTTAAAGTTTTAAGACAATATGATCATGATTATTTGAAATATGGTTTTATACAAGAACCTAAAACTGAACTTGATCTGTGACAGTTTTGTGTCATATGTTCTCTGAAGATTGATTCTCTATCCAATGAAGCCATGAAATCAACAAAACTTACCAGACATTTCCTGACTAAACATCCAGATTTAGCTAATAAGTCAGTCAAATATTTTCAGAGATTGCGTGATAATTTACAAAAGCAAATATATCCTTTAAATAAAATGACAATTCAATATAAGTCTTTATTAAAAGCCTCTTATTTGATGGCACTTCAAATAGCAAAATCAAAAAAACTTATACAATTGGAGAGGAACTAATTAAATCTTGCTCATTACAAGCTTGTGAGGAGGTTTTGGGAAATCAAGCCGCCCAAAAAATGAAGGTAATTCCATGTCTGCTACGTCTGTGATGCGCAGAATTGAAGAAATAGCCAAAGATGCTGAAGTTCAAGTAGTAGAAATGATCAAAACTGCAACATTTTATACAATTCAACTTGATGAATCAACTGACATAAGAAACAAATCTATTCTTCTTTGCTTTGTGAGATTTAATTTCAAAAAATATTTAAAAGAAGAATTTCTATGTTCACTCGACTTGCTGGGTAGAACAACTGGATCTGAAATTTTCAATGTATTGAATGTTTATTTTCTGAAGCATGAAATTGATCGGGGAAAATGTATAGGAATATGTACAGACAGTGCTGTAAGTATGAATGGGAATTGATCTGGAGTTGTTAAAAAAAATAAAAAATATTAGACACACACATAATTTTTACTCATTGTATTTTACACCATGAACAACTTGCTGCAAAAAGATTATCTCCAGAATTACATAAAGTAATGTCTGATGTAATTAAAATTGTAAATGAAATTTGGCATAATGCTCTCAACTCTCGATTATTTGAATCACTTTGTAATGAAATGGGCTCAGAACAATAAACATCATCATCTTCATACCGAGATGTGTTGGCTGTCAAGGGTTAAAGTTTTAATTCGATTGTTTAATATGCAACAAGAAGTAGAATTATTCTTTCAACAACAAAATAATTCTAAATTCCAAAATTTCTTCTCCGATGATGACCGGGTAACAGAGCTTGCTTATTTGGCAGACATTTTTTCTTTGTTAAATGAGTTGAACATATCTACTCAAGAACTTTCAGATGTTTTTACTTTGCAAAGTAAAATGAATGTATTTCAGAAAAAAATATTGTAATGGAAAAAACTATTAATCGGAGAAAATTTGCAAATGTTTCTAAATATGGATGAATACATAAAAGAAAAAGACGTCAACAGACAGATAATAGGTCTTGTTCAACAGCAGCTGCAGTCACTCAGAGTCTTTTGAACATTATTATCCAAAAGAGGAGGATCCCAGAAATGGAAATATTTGGATATTAAACCCATTTTCTTCAAATATTGAGGAAAGCAATTTAAATGTGAAAGAAAAAGAAAGTTTAATCAAATTATTGTCAGATGATAGTCTCAAACTTCAATTCATGCACGAATGACTGTAATCTAACTGCTTTACACAATACAAATGTTTTCGCCACGGAAGTTGGCCCATATTCGACAATATGGCGCTTCCATTGAGAATATGCATATACAAATTTACATTTGAATATAAATAGAATCTTATTATTGTTTTTCACATGTATAGAAATTTGTAATAAAATACATAAAATTAATATTTTATTGTAATTGCATTAAGTAATTCAAAGTACATTAAAATATGAAAATAATCACACAATATGTATTTATATTTTAGAAAATACAAGGGAAGCGGCACTTCACAGCTTCCACGGATGGCATGCCACTGCCGTACACGCGATCTTTTTCGAGTACTAAGTACAATGCTTATAAGCACATCATAAGCTTCATCAAAATTTTCGTGCAACTTTACATGCTTATTAAGCATAATTTTTATGCTTCCTTAAATTTTTTTTATGCATACGAGTCTGTACTCTAACCATCAATGCCTCGATACTTTTGCCATTTGCTATAAATTTTTTGGCAAACGTTCCCGATTTTCCGTTTTACGTATTTTAAAGCAAATTCAAAATTTGGTACATCTCCCATTTCTCGAAGGACACACGCAATAACACGTTGAACTTCTAATTCTTCAAATTTTCAATCCGTGTCTCAAAAAGAGCCCTCCAGGAAAATCAAGACATCGTTCTGTTAAAAACAAAAAAAAAACTTTAACGTGCAAAGCTTCTTTTATAATTTAAACATCCAGAAATATTGGCTTTAATATCCATATAGTCACAAAGAGAAATTAACCAAAATACTAAACTAAAACCATAGGTAAACTTCAAAAAGAACTTTTACGTCAAATCAAAATAGCTCACCTTTTCAAAAGATTTCTCGGGGTGGACAGAACTTAATTTTAAAACAAAGTACAACTACCGACGATACGAAAAAGCCGCGTAAGTTCATCCACCTTTACCGCTTAATACCAAACGTGGTAATAAAAACAATCACTTCGTACTTCGGAGGTGGATAGAATAAACGGTAAAGTTTTCGACGCAATACGACGGGCCTTCCTCGGTCAAAGTTTAGGTGGTTAGAACCGTCGGAAATTTCTAAAGCCAAGCAGAAATTATTTTGTATCAACCACAGGAATGTAGGCAGCTTGCGTCCAGGCACAAAACCTAACCCGGAAACAGTCCTCTAATTATTTGTGTTTATATTAATGATTATTTTTATTTATTTGTTTATCGGTCGTCTACGATAGTGTTCTCTGTAGAAATCCTCGTAATTGTTAAATTATTTGCGTTGAATTTGATCTACCGAGCAAGGACTATTGTATTATGTCGAAAACGTTAAGATGTATTAGATCAACTGCTGGAGTACAATGTCATCTGTTTTCTTACTGTTTCTTATTTATTTATTACGAAATGTCGTTTGCCATCAATTGTTAATTACGTGCGGTGCTGTCCACGGCCGAATCCATCATAGAAGAAAAACTAGAATCTATTGTACAGTACATAAAAATAGCACTCATTTTATTATTATTTAAAAAGAGGCATATTTAATAGGCATATCAAAAATACACATTCCGGACGACCCGCATATAAAGTGCTATAAAGAAAAAAAATCACAGGTCTACTTACCGACCACAGCCCGTTCGAGACGCCATTAATAAAACTGAAGTGCCGCACGCACACACATTGTACCACGTGACCCTACTTCGACGTCATTTTGTCACACGACTACAACTTCTGGCGGAAGAATGCGTTCTTTTTTATTTCTTCTGTTTTTGCATTAAACTTTGCAGACATGGCGTCATACCTCTTTTGTGACTTCGAACAGCCCGCGGACCATAGTTTGACGAACTTTGCTTAGTTACGCTTCCGTAACACCTTAACGTTCTACACCCAAATCCGACGATTTCTTTTTCGATATTAACTCCGTAAAAACAGGACAAACGAAATAATATATAACCGAATTACTTTAAATTCAGATTAAATGCTTGTAACTATAAATTTATGTAAATTACAAACATATAATCTGTACATTTTAAAATTAAAGAGATTAAATGAAAGTTATGTGTCACTGTATGTAAAATGTGCAACTAATATTACGTAAACAACTGTATTCAATTTCCAAACAGAAAAAGAGAGACTTTTTCTGCTTGGAAATAAAATACAGTGGGTGACCGGACAACGAACAATTTACTGAACAAACATAAAAAAAGAAAGCGACGGAAAATAACGAATACCGATTGCGAAGCGCGGGAGACGTCACAGTGGCGTACCGTGGGGAGGGCGGCAGGGGCGGCCCGCCCCGGGCGGCACTTTTTAGGGGGCGGCAAAATTCCGTCTTAGGGGCGGCAAAGCGAAACCTGTTGACCTTTTTTTTTTTTTTTTGCTTGTACGATTCATTCGTGTTAATATCCACCGCTAATTTCCAATATAGCTATTTTGAACAGGTCGCTGCACTACCTCCGAAATTTTCATTGCTTGTTCTGTGACAAACTGAATTTTGGTCTTATAAATTGAAATACCTAAAGGGGCGCCGGAATTTTCCTCCGCCCCGGGCGGCTGACACCCACGGTACGCCACTGAGACGTCAACATCGATACCGATCGGATAGTATCCCTCTGAATTTTCAAACTCTCCCTTGTAATCCCACCTTTCTGACAATACATTTTTATAGTCTTCGCGACACTGTCTGATGGGCACTCGTTAAGTTTTGCGTCGGGGTTTATTTACAAAAGGTGAAAGTTTAACTGTCCCATCAGATATTCGTTAACGTATTAATACCAAATTTTGAATTTCATCCGGGCCTTGCATTTAAATAATTTTTTGTGGCTAGTTCATTTCTGTTCTCTGAATTTTTGTAAGTGTTTTTCTGAATTTTTTATCTAAAAAAGAAGCTGATAATATTATGGAGCCTAAAAAGAGGAGTGTAGAGAACTGTGCTCATAGTAGAAACTAAGAGATAATAGCCAAGGTAGAAAGTAGGCAAAAGATGTCTGATGTTGTTAGGCAGTATGGCTTGAACAGGTCTAGAGTAGGCAAATCTTAGCTATGAAAGATAAATCAAGAAGTCTCAAGCTGTTAATGGAGTAATGAAACTCATATCTGAGAAATAAAGAGCATTTTAGAGCTCATAATGGAACCTGAAACTGATCTGACAAAAGAAGAACTCCGAGAACTCTCAAATGACAAATACCGAGAAACTCGGCAAGATGTTTTCTTTTCAAAAAGAGGAAGACAAAAGAGGACCAATGTCGACATCTACTACTAAAGATCTTTTGAAGAAGTGGGAGGATGTCGGAACAACGATCGTTCAAGTGGCATCCAAACCAAAATACAGTTACTGGGGTTGCGGATCTCTACAATTACTGTACAATACTATTAATTACTTCCAAAAAGTACTGAAGAAAACAGAAAAGCAAGTGACATTGGACAGATTCTTTAACCCCCACAAACTGAGAAAACATGACTAATAAAAATGCAAGACTGCATATATATGTATTTTTACTATTACATATAAATAAACGTAGTAAAAAAGTAGACTGCATATTTTTTTATTTTTTGGAGTCTCCGGATCAAATTAATAAAATTCTCATAAAAACCTATGGTAAATCGATAATCGGATAACGAACAAAGTCTTGGAATGGATTATGTTCGTTAACCGATCACCCACTGTATTTTATAATAGATGCAACACGTTAGAGCGACGCTTCTCATACATGGTGTGTTCACTCCAATACCTTGTGGACCAATACTTTGGCAAAATTAATCACGTGTGATTTTACTAGATTTTAGCTGCAGAAATACATTGGCCGAGACCTACCGTTACCGTAGCCTCTAGCGGAACCTTCTTGTAATTCATGTGTTCGGAGTGAAATCTCCAGTTTGGGTCATGTTAATTTCTATCAATCTAATGCTTTTTCTTAACTTGCATTTCTCTTAACTTTTTCTGTTGGTTACTGTGTTGCATCGATTACTATATTGTGTTATTGTACCGATTGCTTTGTTTTATAATAAATGTATTTAATAAATTTGTGTTTTTTTTAGTAATAATGTAATATTCTCAGTGCTAAATATACAAATTTCAAATTAACTTACACTTGTTATGATACAGTAAATATTTTTTTNTGTTTAATTAAAATATTTTAAAATTTACATTAAATTTTAGCAAGAATTTAATAATAATATAAATATAACATTTAAATACAGTATTTCCCTTATCCATAGGTTTAATTATTTGTGGCCACCAATAATCCAAAAATATTAAAAGGAAAATTCCAGAAATAAACAATTCACAAGCCTTAAATTACATACTATTCTGAGTAGCATGATAAAACCTTGTGCTATCCTATCAATATGTGGATCATCCCTTCGTCCAGCAAATTCACATTGTGTATATCCTATTCACCCATTAGTCATATAGTAGATGTCTTGGTTATCAGATCAATTGTCACAGTATAGCACTGCTTGTGTTCAAATAACCTTTATTTTACTTAAAAATTGTTCCAAAGAGCAAGAATAGTAATGCTAGTAACTTTAATATACCAAAGAGAAACTGTGAAATGCATCCTTTAAGTGAAAAGATGAAGTTCTTGACTTAATAAGGAAAGAAAAAAAACTTATTCTGATGCCAAATTCACACAACTTTTTTATGATGTATTGCTATAAGTGTTTTATTTTATTACTAGTTATTACTGTTAATCTCTTACTGTGTCCAATTTATAAATTAAATTTTATCATAAGTATTTACTGCATGTATAGAAAAAACATGCTATATGTAGGGTTTGATACTATCTGAAGTTTCAGGCATCCACTGGAGGTTTTGAAACAAATCCCATGTATAACAAGAGTTACTGTAGCTTTAAAAATAACCTGTTTTCTTTAATATATAATTTTGGCTAGAGTTTGAATTTGTTATACAGTGGTACCTCAGAATACGAATGCCCCAGCATACGAAATTTTCAGGATACAACATGAAATTTGAACATATTTTTGCTCCACGATACGAACAAAAACTCACCATACAACGTTACATTAGTTCGCAGTGCCATTTTCTATTCACTTCTGTTCATCGATCTCGGTCCGCGCATTTGCTTTATTGTGGAAGGATCTCGCTCGATAAAGGAAATCTCAAGATATTATCGGAAAGTGACTGATTTTATTGAAAAGAAACATCCCAAAAAGGTTCACACTGGCTTATTGCCGCTCAGAGTAATGACATTTGCCTAAGTCATTTTAGAAACATTTTAAAAAGTAGGCAAAGCCGAACCTCTTTGGATAGATATTTTACCAAGCGACCTCTATCTAGTGAAAGTGTTGGTGGAAGTGAAGGAAAGAAAGCAAAAAGGCAGTGAATAAAAAATTTTTAAAAAATATGAAACAGAAAAGATTAAAAAATTAGTGTTAAGTTATTTTTAAGTTATTGTTACATTATGTTATGTAAATTAAGTTTTAGTGTCATTTCCCTTCTCCCTCTCTTCTGCCACCAGTTTACACCTCCACCGTTGTCTATCCTCAGAGGTAAAGTGCAAATAAAACTACATTTTTTTTTATCAATTATTATTGTATTATGGTTATTTATACATTTACAACTACAAAATGAATTTTTCAGTATTTTCCTTACTATAGTTAATTTTTTTTAACGTACTACTTAGCTTTAATTTGAGTGTGTTTTTCGTGTTGGAACGGATTATTTGGTTTTAGGTGTAATCGTATGGGGAAAAATGATTCACCTTACGAAATTTTCATGATACGATCTGAATNAATCAACTGGAAAGAGATTTTTGAATATAAAATAAAATTTAAAAATTATTGAATATTTGAAATATATTCAATATTTTTAAAAGAATTGAGACTCTTCAGCTTTAGAAATAAAATCTTTTGTATAAACCTGAAGCTGGCCCCTAAACAAGGCCAAAAACATTTGCATTTTGGACATCAAATGCTTTACTGTTGCAAAATATGGAAGGTTATTGTCAATTCAGGTAATTGTGTTTAACAGAATGTTATCATCTTGGAAGATACTCTAAAAAAATTGTAATTAATAGTAGTCTTAAAAATTGAAAAGAGATTACTGGAAAAATCTGCTTAATAAACAAAAATTATTCTATGATGTGTTGGTAATAAATCGTAAAACACAACCAAAGCATACATGTTAAAGTATTCTGATATGGATACACAATGTGATAGACATAATCTACATTTTTCTACAGTGAAAAACTAAACTTCTCTTTGTACTATTAAATTCAAAAACTGACTGACAATCTACAATCTTTACTGTGTAGCTTAAGAAACATATTTTCTTGTTTCATAGTTCAATAAATTTTATATCATGCACTACTAAGCATTTTCAGTTAGTGATCTAATAATCTTTACCATACAATTTGTATTAGAAGATGCATAGAATTGTGTATCTTTTGTCTCTATAATTTATTTAATAAAATAATGGCATATTTTTTTATTATTGTTAATTATATAGAAAAAGTTTTATATGTATAAAATATAACAAAGAAAACTTCTCACATTCAATTTATATGAATTTAAAACTTTGTTATCCTAGTCATGAATATACCCAGATATGTCCTATAAATTATGACATTAGAGCAAAACCTCGATTTAACAGACTTTGGATTTAACACACAATTTCCAGTCTGTATGTCATATGTGAAAACTAACACTCTCTTAATTTTAAAAATGCTTTTTATATGTAATTAAATTAACAAGTTATTTTTCAAATCCTAAAGTCACCACTCATAAGGTGTATTTTCCAAAAATTGTTTGTTTATTTATTTTGATTTAGATTATAAATTTGTTTATTACAGTCACAGAACTAGTGAGTACATAAACAATAATACATATAAAAAACTTTTCTGCAAAATTAAACTTTTCATACATACTTAATTTTAATTATACAAACATATCTACATAAGTAAAAACTGATTTGTCAAGTTTTTAACATATGCATTTGGAAAACCTACTTTATTATATAATGGAATTATACACAGTCCAGCCACATTATTAATGTGACCATCCTTTACTGTCGACATCAATGTGAAATAACAAATCACAGGTGGCAGGTAGCAACACATTGCAGTGGAGGATATATGAAGGTTATCTGATGTAAGCAAAACACATTGCAATTGTTGGCGTAATGGATGTACGATGCGATTTATCCGATGTCCAAAAGGGCATGATCATCGGCTTCCAGACAAAATGGAAGCATTTGCAAAACGGCTAATTTTGTAATCTGTTCACATGCCGCCATGGTAAAAGTATACTGTGCATGGCAAAATGGCACTATCCAAAATCAGTGATGTGGCAAATATGGTGCACCATGGGCCATAGACGACAGAGGTGAACGACGGCTGCGGAGATGTGTTCAGGCAAATAGACATGCAACCGTTGACCAACTGACTGCCCAGATGAACCAAGGAACTACCAAAAGTGTCTTCTCAATGACAGTTTAGTGAACATTGCTACATATGGGCCTCCGCAGCAGAAGCCTGGTTAAAGCACCTATGCTGACTCCTGTTCTTTGGCGACAAAGGCTGGAATTTGCATGCTAGAACAGCAACTGTATGTCCACTGAGTGGCAACAGGTGGCTTTTTCCAATGAATCACGTTTTATGCTCCATCGGACAGATGGACGTTGGTGTATACAGCATGAGGCATCTGAAAGGAAACACCCTGCAACAATTGCCGCAAGGGTCCAAGCTAGAGGAGGAAGCATTATGGTCTGAGAAATGTTTTCATGGCATTCTCCAGGTGCACTCATCATTGTGGAAGGCACAATGGATCAACAGAAGTACACATCTGTCCTTGCGGACGATTCTGGCTTTTGACAGGTGGTCACATTATTGTGACTGGACTGTGTATTTAACTATATGCTTTTCAGCTTTAAAAAACCCCCTATCTCCTGAATTAGTCCTGATTTTACTGTACTGGCATCTATAAAGATAACATAATAACTCTGTAAAAAGTTATTCCATATTTAGAATAAATAAAGAGAAATTCATAACTATAATTTTAAAACTATTGAGTTAATAGCCTAAACATGCTTGAAAAAGTTTTAAAAATATGTATTTATTTGCTGTTCTTAAATGGAAATTTAGTAACAATTATTTTGTAATGAAAAAATTATAAATATGAACACAAAATTTATAATTATATACTATTATTCTTTGGATTCTTAACTAAATAATTTTTAAAATATAAATAAACAATTATTACTTAATTATGCATTTCTTTAAAAATCAAATTAACCACATTAAATTAATCATATTATCTAACTTATTACACTGAAATTTCACATATTTGAATAAAATTTAAATGCTAGATAATTTAATTATAAAAATTTCCCAACATTTAAAAAGCATACATTTGAAAACAGATAATAAAATTTATTTTTACTAATTATCTAATTAATTATTTTAACTATATTACTTAACTTATTAACAATTTAATTACAGTAGATGTCCTAAATATAATCCCACCTTTGAAAATATCTGTTACGACTTCCTTGACCTTGCTTTGATTCCATTGCATCCAATGATCCCATGCCTCTATATTTCTTTAGTCTAACACCATCAGAAAAAAAGTATTCTCCAGGTGCTTCTGTGGTACCAGCTAACATGGATCCCATCATAACTGTTATAACATGATTTTTATTTAACATATAATCAAATACATTTAAAAAATGCAAATTATTGTAAAATTTATGCATGTTCAATGAAATAAAATATTTTGATATTATGTTGTATTTTATGCATATGCACATAATATTAAAAGAAAATTCAAAACTAAAGGAAATTTTAAAGTAGAAATACAGTGGTGTGCCATGACATTTGATGATAGGGAAGCTGTGTTTCCATAAAAATTTTAAACAAATACCAGAAATGACAAAAATAAACAGTTTATTTATTTTAATTCTAAAATAGATAATTGACACGAAACAAAGATATAAGACTTGTTTTTATTACTTTTTATAAACTAATTCTATTCAGCAATTTTTTTCTGCAAAGTCGCTAATTACTTATCATAAAAATTGCTCATCATTCATTCCATCAAAGTATTTAAAATCTTTTTTCTATCGAAAGCAACGCTAGTGATGACAATCTTTCCTCTGACTGAGTGTTCCTTGCCAATGTATCAGTTCGTTTCACGGTTGAAAAACTGCACTCAACAGATGCACTCATACATGGTACCATAAAAATTAATGATATTAAATCATATAATTCTTTTAGTATGTCTTTGTTGAGATCGTTGTTAATTATAATATTTTTTATGTCTAAGAGTGACTTACAATGTAGTCTGGACATAAATATAAATATTGCAATTCACTACATAATTTAGATAAATCAAAAAATTCTCCATAAAATTTATTTAATTTAAAAAATTAAAACTTGCTTCGGAAAAATATTTTTCATAATATTTAAAATTATTAACATCTAAAAGTAATAAAAATTCTAAAGATTTTATGTCTGAAAATCTGTCAATATAATTATAATTAAACATAGCTTTGTAAAAAAACATACATAAAAATAACATAAAATATTCTTTACTTTTTAAATCTTACAACAATCCACTTAGTCAAATAGCTCCCTACAAGTGGCCAATGGATGGAATCATTAGAAGCGGTATACGATATTTTGGTGTGTAGCATCCACCAGCTAAACCAGGAGCGGTTGGTGCTCTGTAAAGCGCATGCACGAATGCCATAATTTGGCTACTTTACATCATTCAAATATTTTCGCTGTGGAAGCTATCCTGTATTCAACAATATGGCACTTCCATTGGGAATAGGCATACATGAATTTATATTTGAATCTTATCATTGCAATCTTATCATTGTTTTTCAATGTATATAAATTTGTAATAAAATACATAAAATTAATATTTTATTATAATTGCATTAAGTAATTCAAAGTATGTTAAAATATGAAAATAATCGCATACTATGTATTTACATTTTAGAAAGTACAAGGGAAGTGGCACTTCCACAGCTTCCATAGATGGTAGGCCACTTGTACCACAATCATCAATGCAACTGACTCTAATATCATATTTTAATATAAATTTTGTAAAAAGTACAGCATCTATACTTTATTGCTATTCATAAAAATATTTCTAAAAAGTATAACGTTATTTAATTTGTTAATTTCATGAAGACTTCATTTTAAATAATAATCTTAATGCAAATTGTAAATAATTATTTTTAAAACCTAAAATTTATTTATATTCAAATTCATTCGAGTTTAGTTCTTTTCTAAACACATACACTTGGAGAAAGTCAGTAAAAGTTATTTATAAAATTTCGCAAAATCTTTTCACTTGAAGTTTTATTCTAGTAACATTGGTACAACTGATTTCTTCTTAATGATAATCTAAAGTATCTCTAATTTTATTTTATTTTTTGTCATTTATGAAATAAAGATTTATTTTCATATTTTATTTTTATTATTTTATTTAGTATATTCTTTTGTAAATAATCCTATTAAATACTTTCAACTAAAAATATAATTAAAAAAGTTCTAGCAAATTTATCCAATCTTTCCATATCTAAATGTGAAAAATTTTTGAATATCAAGGAATAGGAGAATATTCCTTCATATTCAAAAATTATATCAAAAGTATAGTTTCTTTATAATTAAGATTACTATAATTAACAATTCAGCTACATCATAATTTCATCAATTAATGAGATAAGTTTTGCTATGTTTTGAATTTAACAAAATTGAATTTAAATATAATGTTTAATTAGCTGCTATAATTTATGATTACTAACTAATTTATTATGTGAACTAATCTAATTATAGATAATTATTAGTATTAGCATAATATATTCCAATTATGAACATTTTTAGTAGGAAAAAACAATTACTTAACTATATAAATTTCAATTTTAATTTCTCTTTTCCTTTTTTTATTTTTTGTATTTTGTTATTATATACATTAAATACTATTTGCTCAATGATATCTATTTGTATGGTGATAAAAACCTGATTTCCAAGAGAATCTTTGTCTAAATATGAATATTAAATACTATTTTAAACAAATGAAATTTTAACAGATCAATAATTTTTATCCATTCTTCTTAATTGCATTTTGCTTTGTAAAAAAAAGTAATTATAAAATTTTAATCAATGATATCTATTTGTATGGTGATCATTGATTAAAATTTTTATAATTCTCTTTTTTACAAAGCAAAATACAAGTAACACCTGTATAACATGGCATTTCTATAGAACGGATTCACTCTATCTAACATGGTTCGAGAATTGGTAACATCCCCATATAACACGGTGCTTTTATAGCATGGATTCATTCTAACATGGTTTGAGAATTGGGTAAAACCCTCATACAACATGAAATGTACAGTAATAAAAACTATTAAACGATTACTATCAAACTTTATCTAATTTGAAATTAGGGAAATTCCCATACAATAAACGTGATAAAGCTTTTAAGTACATAAGATATCTCATTTAACATTTTTCATTCGAGTGCGTACATACTGTCAGATTTTCCTGCATAATTTTTGTGAACTATTAGTACTTAAGTATATAAATTTGCTTTTCCTGCCTTTTGTTGATACACTTGTCTTTCTCGAAACTTGCTTCAGTGTTGCCAGATCGCGACGCTTCTGCTTATGGTGTTGCCGAATGTTTTTCCCTTATTCCATACTTGCTTTATTCTTCATAAGTGCTTAGCGCCATATAAGGAAATTTATAAAGGATCTTTTAACTAAAAGAAAGTAATCTAAAATAACATATTTTTTGCAAAAGGTAGAGCATGGATCTGAAGATAATGCAGAAAAATGCTCAGAGGATAAGGATATCTTGCCAAAAAGAAAATGCCCTCAGTTAATAGTGCTTAGTGATGACAAAGAAAACATTGTTTAATTTATATTAATATGTATCACTTCTTAAGAAAATTTTAATAAAGATATTTATCTTAATTATGAAAATATAATAGTATGCTTTTTAAGTTTTGGAACCTAGTCCACCTTTTCGTACTAGTTCTTTGTTTTGTATAACACAGATTTGCATAACACTGCAATTTTTTTGAACATAACTCCTGTGTTATACAGCTGTACCTGTACAATATTCATAATTGTACAATTTGCTCTCATTTCAAGTTTAATGCATTCGGTAAAATACCTAGATTATTATTTCAAACCTATATTTAATTAAAATATTTTAAAATTTACATTAAATTTTAGCAAGAATTTAATAATAATATAAATATAACATTTAAATACAGTATTTCCCTTATCCATAGGTTTAATTATTTGTGGCCACCAATAATCCAAAAATATTAAAAGGAAAATTCCAGAAATAAACAATTCACAAGCCTTAAATTACATACTATTCTGAGTAGCATGATAAAACCTTGTGCTATCCTATCAATATGTGGATCATCCCTTCGTCCAGCAAATTCACATTGTGTATATCCTATTCACCCATTAGTCATATAGTAGATGTCTTGGTTATCAGATCAATTGTCACATTATAGCACTGCTTGTGTTCAAATAACCTTTATTTTACTTAAAAATTGTTCCAAAGAGCAAGAATAGTAATGCTAGTAACTTTAATATACCAAAGAGAAACTGTGAAATGCATCCTTTAAGTGAAAAGATGAAGTTCTTGACTTAATAAGGAAAGAAAAAAAACTTATTCTGATGCCAAATTCACACAACTTTTTTATGATGTATTGCTATAAGTGTTTTATTTTATTACTAGTTATTACTGTTAATCTCTTACTGTGTCCAATTTATAAATTAAATTTTATCATAAGTATTTACTGCATGTATAGAAAAAACATGCTATATGTAGGGTTTGATACTATCTGAAGTTTCAGGCATCCACTGGAGGTTTTGAAACAAATCCCATGTATAACAAGAGTTACTGTAGCTTTAAAAATAACCTGTTTTCTTTAATATATAATTTTGGCTAGAGTTTGAATTTGTTATACAGTGGTACCTCAGAATACGAATGCCCCAGCATACGAAATTTTCAGGATACAACATGAAATTTGAACATATTTTTGCTCCACGATACGAACAAAAACTCACCATACAACGTTACATTAGTTCGCAGTGCCATTTTCTATTCACTTCTGTTCATCGATCTCGGTCCGCGCATTTGCTTTATTGTGGAAGGATCTCGCTCGATAAAGGAAATCTCAAGATATTATCGGAAAGTGACTGATTTTATTGAAAAGAAACATCCCAAAAAGGTTCACACTGGCTTATTGCCGCTCAGAGTAATGACATTTGCCTAAGTCATTTTAGAAACATTTTAAAAAGTAGGCAAAGCCGAACCTCTTTGGATAGATATTTTACCAAGCGACCTCTATCTAGTGAAAGTGTTGGTGGAAGTGAAGGAAAGAAAGCAAAAAGGCAGTGAATAAAAAATTTTTAAAAAATATGAAACAGAAAAGATTAAAAAATTAGTGTTAAGTTATTTTTAAGTTATTGTTACATTATGTTATGTAAATTAAGTTTTAGTGTCATTTCCCTTCTCCCTCTCTTCTGCCACCAGTTTACACCTCCACCGTTGTCTATCCTCAGAGGTAAAGTGCAAATAAAACTACATTTTTTTTTATCAATTATTATTGTATTATGGTTATTTATACATTTACAACTACAAAATGAATTTTTCAGTATTTTCCTTACTATAGTTAATTTTTTTTAACGTACTACTTAGCTTTAATTTGAGTGTGTTTTTCGTGTTGGAACGGATTATTTGGTTTTAGGTGTAATCGTATGGGGAAAAATGATTCACCTTACGAAATTTTCATGATACGATCTGAATTTCAAAATGGATTAATTTCGTATCCTGAGGTACCACTGTATTATATATAATAGGATTATATTTTACAATCAAAAATTATTTTAATAAGTCATATTTTAATCTTTATTATATTACTTATTACCTGTTGAAGCACCAAGTGCCAATGCTTTAATTATATGTCCAACAAATTGTACACCACCATCAGCAATCACAGGTACACCATATTTCCTGCTATATTCTGCAACTTTATATACTGCAGTAGCTTGTGGACGACCAACTGCAACTACTGAAATAATAATTTTTAAACTAATTGTAAAAATTTTAATTAATTAATTAGTTCATTACAAATTTTAAAAAATTTAGCACAGGTTAGCAGAGGCTATTTTTAAAATATATGATATGCAATAATTCTATTACTCGTACAGCTGAAAAAAGAAATGAATAAATTAAAATACAGATAAATTTGTTATAAAAATGGATTGATATAGTAATCCAGTATATTATTATCTTTAATTACTTTAATCCTGTTAATGAGATTGATTATTTCTCACAGCTCACACCCTTGCTCTCTCCAGGCTAAAAAGACTTCCACCCTTTCGATTCATCAAAGCTTCTTCTGAACCTGGTGGACCAGCAGTACATCAATCTGCTGATTCTACAATTCCCCAATGTCTACTAAGGTATTTACCAACGTGTGACCAATTTGTAAACTCTCTCTCGGTCATGGACTATAATTGATATATAAAATTAGCACCTTGCTAAGGATCTTAACTAACTATGTACAGAGTTGCATAAATTGCCTATAAATAAATGGGTATTGTTAATTGTTAAACTTGCAATGGAGTGCATTCACTTCTTCCGGTTGTGTCAGACCAGGCTCCATTCCAAGCCTAAGTGCCTACAAACTCATGAAAAACGAAATTAGCAGCCATCAAGGTTCCTGTGTCTGGTATCAGTCCTGATGTGGCATCAAAGAGGGCCAACCCTCAGTCACATAATATTTAAAAGTTATTACAATAAAAATTATGTGTCATTAACCTAGATAGTGTGAGCTGTGAGAAATAATCAACATGATTAACAGGATTATAGTGATTGAAGATAATAATAATAATAATAAAATAATATAGCATCCCAACAAATAACAATAAATGTCCAAAGCCCATATCTAATTGCTAACAACCATACCAGATTATTATTATTTCCACCATAATGAAAATATTGAATTGAATACTTTTGGTTTTCTGAAGTTTAGGATGATAAAATATTGTTGTTATAATAAAAAAGTATTGATTTAATATGTCATTGAGACAGCAGAAGAATGAAAATCTACAAATGACAGCATTTCAGCATTTCTTAAAATAAGGCATGACTCTATAAAGATGAGCTGAATTAAGAGCCAATAAAATATTGTTAACTACAAAAGAAATAAGTTTGCTTACAGCAGATTTTTAACAGCCAACAGAGAAATGACAAAGCTTTATTTTCAAAAATATCAATTTTATCTAAATAATCCTGTTTTGGGATAATATACATTCTCATAGCAATACTAAGTTAATTGAGCATTTGCAAATAACTATTGAGTTGGTGCAAAATTTTCTATCAATAGAATTTTCTTGACCTCTCTAGAATGTTCAAAATTATTGTAGGAGAGACAGCATCTAGAAGTTTTTGTGGGCTATGTAAATTAAAATGTTAAGTGGCACAGTCATATGTGAAAAGATGTTCATTGTGGCAATACCAATGTTTTAAATATGTCAACTTTACAAATGTTTTTGTGTGACCAAATTCACATGTGCATTTTCCAATTATCAATTTGGTATAAAAGCAGCTGAATCTTATTGCCATATGGTACAATTGTTAGGCAAGAATGTTGTCTCTAACTCTACAGTCTATGATTGATTTAATAAAGTTAAAGCTGGGCAATATGAAATTGAAGATAGGACATACTCAGGAAGACCTTCTGCCCTACTGGATGACAAGCTATGGCAACTGGTGGAAATTAATCTATGTCTGATCACATGAGAATGAGCAAGACTCTTGGTTGTGATCAGTCCATCATAGTTCATCACTTAACTGCCATTACAAAGATCAGGTCTGCAAGATCTTTCTTCACTACAACACAATACCAAATTTGTAAAGGTTGACCTGGCAGAAGTTGTTTGATCTCAGCTGGGAGGTTCTCCCTCACTTTCCATACAGTCCAGAACTTGTACTATCTAAATGACATCTCTTCTGCTGCATGCAATACTTCTTGAATGGAAAGCAGTTCACTGATAATGAGGAGATAAAAATTGCAAAGCTCGTTGGATCAAAATGGTTTGAGTTTTATTCAGAAGGAATATGCAACCTGCCCAGTTAAAGAAAGAGCATATTTGAATGCAATGGCAACTATTTTCTTGAATAAACTATTTTTGTTTTTGGAAATAAATGCTGTACTATAAAACTCTAGAAAATTACAGAAACTTTGCATCAATCCAATAAAACACTTTATATGTTGCAGAATGAAAAACAAATTCAAATTATTGAATTAGCTGCTCAAAATTTTTTAATGGGATAATAAATATTATTTACCAATACAAAGTTATGTGAGAATAAAATTCTTAGCATTCACCAAGATTTCATATTTTGTTATACATTTAAAGTGAGAAATGTCTCAATTGCATAGTCTATTCATTTTAAAAATCTTCTTATGTGATTACTGGAAAGCATATAAATTAACACTCCTAAACCTTAAAAGTCCAGTAGTAAATATTTAATAGCAAACAAATGTTCTTCAGGTTTAAAAAACCAGTAAGATTCGAACAAATGAATGCATAGAACAAAATTATGAAATTATTTTCAAAAATGGAACAGCACAAACGGATTTTAAAAGAATAAACAGTTATGCATGTGCATTGCCATGGCAATGGAATGGTATATGTAATACATATACTGATATAAATACATGCAAATACACCAAATGGGGGTGTGGTTTCTAACTGCTGGTGTGGGTGTTGCCCGTTCCTTCATAGCAGTACAGTACTTCCAAGCGTGTGACACATTGATGGCATCATTAGAGTTAATGCAATTGGTATGTAACCCGGCTTTGTAAATTTCAAGTTTCAATTCCAGGTTTCGTAGGTGTTCCACACAATGAGAAAGTTTGATCAGTTTGACCTCATGTAGGTCAGCTCTTATGCCGGGTTCAGTGGCATATGTTGATAGGGCGGTGGTGGTATGCCTTTTATTAACGATGTTGTATTTGTGTTCCTGCAATCTTTTATTCAAAGAGTGTTTTGTAGACCCAATATAAACTAATTCCCTTTGAAACCTGTTGTCCCAGAGAGGAACCATGTAAACACCCAGTGCTTGCTTTTTATTGATCTTGTCTTTGCCACTGCGGAGTAGCCCATATACAGTGCTGGGCCTCTTGTATGCAATCTTAGTATTAGTATGGGAGGCAATCTCCCTGTAAATGAAGTTGTGTATTTGTTCCCTGAAAATGAAGCTGTGTGCTATTTATGTTGTGTGATCCGTGGGTCGCTACTTGTGTGTTAGAAGTGTCGTATGTGGCTATTCGTGAGGAGTATGTGCAGGAAAGGTTGTGTATCAGGTTCTTGTTATATCTGTGCTGTATATAACAAGCACGGATATAACAAGTTCTGCTATGTTCTGAATGCATTTCAACTCAGCCTCTGTGTCTTCAGATCTAGTGTGGTGTGTAAAATCCAGTTTTGTTAGGGCACAGAATGCAGAGATCTTATAGGAGTATGGGTCTGCAGCATTGGCTGGAATGAACAATGGCCTATAGCATGATTTGTAATGTATTGATACTTTTGTTACCACTCTAGTGCCATCAAGTTGAAGGTGGATATCCAGGAAATGTGCAGTAGTATTGTTCTTCTGGTCCAATTTGATGGTGAGTCTGTAAGGATTGTCATTCATTGTACTTATGAAATTGTTTATGTTCGGTTCTGCTTTCCATAGAATAAAGATGTCATCTACATACCTCTTGTAAATGAGAATGTTGGAAACGAACTGTGGTATGATCTTTCCTTCAAGCTGCCTTATCACCAATAATTTTGTTCTATGCATTCACTTGTTTGAATCTCACTGGTTTTTTAAACCTGAAGAAGACCAAAAGTACGGTTGAAAACATTTGTTTGCTATTAAATATTTACTACTGGACTTTTAAGATTTAGGAGTGTTCATTTCTATTCATTTTATCTATATTTTGTCTTCAAAATATGATAAAATGAATAGACTATGCAGTTGAGGTTTGGTTAATATGATTTTTGTTTTATCTTCAAAATAAAAATTGTATTAATCAAACTCAGTTTTATAATTCATCAGACTTAATTTTTCACAAATCTCTATATTAGATTTTCATAAAAAGTAATTAGAAAAGAAGTTACTAAAATTTGTTCTTGAAATAAAATTTATGTGATGAAACCTAATGTCTGAAATAAACACAATTAATGCTTTCAACAAATTTTTACCTTTACTGAACATTTTGACCTTAATGAAAGGTCTTCCTGAGGCTACCTTAGAACATAGACTAGTACTGTTGAAAGCATGTAGTTAAAAGAACAATAAATACAAAATAAAAAANTTGCAATCTTATCATTGTTTTTCAATGTATATAAATTTGTAATAAAATACATAAAATTAATATTTTATTATAATTGCATTAAGTAATTCAAAGTATGTTAAAATATGAAAATAATCGCATACTATGTATTTACATTTTAGAAAGTACAAGGGAAGTGGCACTTCCACAGCTTCCATAGATGGTAGGCCACTTGTACCACAATCATCAATGCAACTGACTCTAATATCATATTTTAATATAAATTTTGTAAAAAGTACAGCATCTATACTTTATTGCTATTCATAAAAATATTTCTAAAAAGTATAACGTTATTTAATTTGTTAATTTCATGAAGACTTCATTTTAAATAATAATCTTAATGCAAATTGTAAATAATTATTTTTAAAACCTAAAATTTATTTATATTCAAATTCATTCGAGTTTAGTTCTTTTCTAAACACATACACTTGGAGAAAGTCAGTAAAAGTTATTTATAAAATTTCGCAAAATCTTTTCACTTGAAGTTTTATTCTAGTAACATTGGTACAACTGATTTCTTCTTAATGATAATCTAAAGTATCTCTAATTTTATTTTATTTTTTGTCATTTATGAAATAAAGATTTATTTTCATATTTTATTTTTATTATTTTATTTAGTATATTCTTTTGTAAATAATCCTATTAAATACTTTCAACTAAAAATATAATTAAAAAAGTTCTAGCAAATTTATCCAATCTTTCCATATCTAAATGTGAAAAATTTTTGAATATCAAGGAATAGGAGAATATTCCTTCATATTCAAAAATTATATCAAAAGTATAGTTTCTTTATAATTAAGATTACTATAATTAACAATTCAGCTACATCATAATTTCATCAATTAATGAGATAAGTTTTGCTATGTTTTGAATTTAACAAAATTGAATTTAAATATAATGTTTAATTAGCTGCTATAATTTATGATTACTAACTAATTTATTATGTGAACTAATCTAATTATAGATAATTATTAGTATTAGCATAATATATTCCAATTATGAACATTTTTAGTAGGAAAAAACAATTACTTAACTATATAAATTTCAATTTTAATTTCTCTTTTCCTTTTTTTATTTTTTGTATTTTGTTATTATATACATTAAATACTATTTGCTCAATGATATCTATTTGTATGGTGATAAAAACCTGATTTCCAAGAGAATCTTTGTCTAAATATGAATATTAAATACTATTTTAAACAAATGAAATTTTAACAGATCAATAATTTTTATCCATTCTTCTTAATTGCATTTTGCTTTGTAAAAAAAAGTAATTATAAAATTTTAATCAATGATATCTATTTGTATGGTGATCATTGATTAAAATTTTTATAATTCTCTTTTTTACAAAGCAAAATACAAGTAACACCTGTATAACATGGCATTTCTATAGAACGGATTCACTCTATCTAACATGGTTCGAGAATTGGTAACATCCCCATATAACACGGTGCTTTTATAGCATGGATTCATTCTAACATGGTTTGAGAATTGGGTAAAACCCTCATACAACATGAAATGTACAGTAATAAAAACTATTAAACGATTACTATCAAACTTTATCTAATTTGAAATTAGGGAAATTCCCATACAATAAACGTGATAAAGCTTTTAAGTACATAAGATATCTCATTTAACATTTTTCATTCGAGTGCGTACATACTGTCAGATTTTCCTGCATAATTTTTGTGAACTATTAGTACTTAAGTATATAAATTTGCTTTTCCTGCCTTTTGTTGATACACTTGTCTTTCTCGAAACTTGCTTCAGTGTTGCCAGATCGCGACGCTTCTGCTTATGGTGTTGCCGAATGTTTTTCCCTTATTCCATACTTGCTTTATTCTTCATAAGTGCTTAGCGCCATATAAGGAAATTTATAAAGGATCTTTTAACTAAAAGCAAGTAATCTAAAATAACATATTTTTTGCAAAAGGTAGAGCATGGATCTGAAGATAATGCAGAAAAATGCTCAGAGGATAAGGATATCTTGCCAAAAAGAAAATGCCCTCAGTTAATAGTGCTTAGTGATGACAAAGAAAACATTGTTTAATTTATATTAATATGTATCACTTCTTAAGANATTTATGATTTAATGTTAAATTATTAATGTTAAATTGAAATTTAATACATTTATAAATTTATATATAAAAGGTATTTATCGTATTTACTCACATACAAGATGAGGTTTTTATTCACTTATCACAGCTTCAAATTCCTAGGTCATCCTACTTGCTCAAGCAAAAGATTCTTTGCATTTTTGCAAATAATTTTCATGAACCATGTATTCACATTTTTTACCGAATGCTTACCCTCTTGTATTTAAAAACATAAGTATTTTATCTTGGTCATTTGAATCGTTCTTGTATATTGTCAGGAGTAAAGATGAATAGCAATAGGAAAAGCAAAGCATTTGAATTTAATTCCAATTTGAAATTCCAAAATCACATGAGAGCTCAATATAAGTTTTAATCCATTCTCAGGTAAAAACAACAGATGATTATTTGGAAATCAGAATATGGAAAAACTCATAAGTGTAATTGACGGAGAGTGGATTTGACTGTTAAGAATTGGCAAAAAAAAGTTTCTGATTGTCCAGCTTTACATGAACAAATTATGTTGTTGGTTTTACAGAATTTTTCCTTGAAGTTTAAAATGACAGTAATTTTTGCGAGACAATGTATGCATTTATGTTCATTTGATATTTTACTTGTGATTAAACAAAATAAAATTAGAATTGTATTAATAAATCTAATTTTCTTTATTTTGATCTTTAAACTCACACCTCATCCTATATGCAAGTAAATATGGTAACGAAAATAAAATTTATGAACACCTTAAACAGTTATATTATGCATCAAAAAATTGCAAATTAATGAAAAATTTGGAAAATTTGAGGATAATTAGTTTACACGTCATTACATTCATTATAAAAACTAATTTAATACTGACATAGTTCTAAACATATTTAAATTTTCACATTTTGATACATTGAGTATATATTAAACAATGGGAATTCAAAAAAATACAGTATATATGTATTAACAGTTAATTATTTTTTCATACAAAATTTAGATAAAGAAAAATTTTTCAAATAATTAACTTTCTATAACTAATTTTACTGTAAGAAAAATTTAGTGAACTAGCAACACTTAAATACAAAGAAATTATTAAAAATTTTGGCTCATTACAAGTATTAAATATGCACAATGATTAATAAAAATTTACCTTCTTGAGTTATACATATCGAGCCACATCCCATTCCCACTCGTAGTGCATCTGCTCCCGCTTCAATTAAATTTTTTGCTTGTGAAGTAGTAACAACTAAAAATATTAAATAAGAGTTTTTAATATATGTTTAACATTAAATGAATTTAGAAATAAGTCAATATTGTTTATGTAAGTTATGTTCCCTAAAAATCCAATTAAAAATGAAATGATAAATAATGGAAATAATCTATCTAGAATACAAATATAACATATACTCTAGTAATATATTCTAAAATAAATATATTTATTTTAAACAAACAGTATGTACAAATGCATTTATTTGAAAACTGCATTAATTTGTTATTAATTGTTTAAAAAATTTTTCAATGTTAGTAGTGGATTAAGTGCATTACAAAAACTAATCAATTGTTGGTTTTATTAATAACAAATTAATGAAAAAAATTTAAAATATAGAACAGTAAACAATGAGAACTTATTGCATTTTTATCAGATATGACATTTAAATTAATAAATATTGATTTCTTGCTATATTTTCTGTTTTATCAATATAATTTATAGAAAAAGCAAATGTAATTTGAAAAAGAATATTGGTATAAATCTAATTTTTCATTAACAAGTTTATCTTTTCCTTAACATCTGTACTTTTTTGCTTTCTTAGAAACCAAATAAATATCTTTCTTGAATGAATATGGAATATTTACTTTATATCCTCATTTATAGTTTTATCATTTCGATTATATTTAATAAAACAAAAATTTAGTTAATTTGCCTTATGATAAATCTATGTGTAAATATCAAACTCTGGTATCAAAAAAGTAATTATAATAAATTATGAATATATTTTTATAATTTATTCATCCTTTCTAACATATCTTAAAATTATAATTGGTTGAAATTGATTTTGATCTTTTTCTGCACATATGATACATTTGAAACTATCATTATTTTGCTGTAAATGCATTTAATATTGAATAGATCATTCATTTTATTATATACGATCAATTTTAAGTGTGAAGTTAGAGAAGGTTGTAAATTTCAAGAAAGCTGTGCGTGCACAATAATTATAACAACAATTTTTAAACTAAAATTACTTTTAAAAATATAGAATAATTATTGAATAGACAAAGAAATGTAATATGACCAGTTAAATTAAATTTAATTTATATTTTTGATTTTAATATGCTATCAGATCTAATGTGTACCCAATTTTTGAAATGTCAAACATGAAAAAAGTTAGCTTGTAAATTTAATGTGAGCCCTATATCAAAAATGCAGCCACAAAAGTTAATATATTTAATAAACAATACTAATTGCATATTTTGTAAAGTGTTTTATTTTCATGTTTACAGTGCTTCATGATGCTCACATTTTTGAATGTATTTGTTTATTATTCTATTATCAGATATAGAGAATCTGCAAATCAATACAAAATCAGTCAAAATAACTATATGGTCAACATTTTATTAGTGATATTTCATATCAGTATGAACAAACATGAAATTTATTAGATACATAGTATCACATGCACTTCAGCATAGTGGCTATCTCTCTGCTTAAACACAGCTCTATAGGAGATTCATCTGCTGGACATCATTAATTAATTCAGCTTGCTGTAGTTCAAAAGACTATCAAACTATTTCAAAACCAAAAGCAAAATTAAAATTGAAGTAGTGGGAGGGATGTGTACCATGTCTATACCAACATCTTATCACATGTGAATTGTTGAGCAAAGTGAAAAACAAATAATGCAAACAAGACTGCATTATTTCTTTGTAAAAAGGGCTGGCAGAATTACAATTTAATAAAGTAAAAATTACATTACAGATGGATACTAGTCCTATCTTCATTCCAATCACCAGAAACAACTATTTTCCATTGCAGAGACAACCTTTCTTTAGAGGCTATGCCTCTGCACAAATAAAATATTTTTAATAATTCAAATATTAAAAATATATTTCAAATATTATATTTTTAATTGTGTTGGGATTGTCACTTGTGGACATTTTAGACTGTTTTACATATTTGTGCAGAGGCATAGCCTCTAAAGAAAAATTGTCTCTGCAATGGAAAATAGTTGTTCCTGGTAATTGGACATGGCAAGCAATGAAGATAGGACAAGTATCCATCTGTAATATAATTTTTACTTTATTAAAAAGGCTGCATTATGTTTTCTTTGTAACTGATTCTAATGTACTGTACACTCCAATTTTTGAGAATGAAAATGTTAAAAAAAGGTGCACATTAGAATTAAGAAAACATGGTAATTTCAAATGTAAAATATTGAAAATCTTTTTAAATGTTTATTCAAACAGAATACTAGAAAAATATTCGATTATGAATTGTCTGTGTATAATATTTTTCAAGAAGGACATCATATAAAAATAAAATAAAACTTTGTGTGATAAAAATAACAAAAACTATGTTGTCTGATTTAATGTAATATAAATAAATAAAAAAGATAATAGCTTTAATATAACTTTGTTTTTATAATAAGAACATCTATATTTGATAAATAAAAAAAAGTTAGATTATGAAATGTACCATTTCCAGCTATGACATCTAAATTTGGATACTTTTCTTTTATGTATTTTAGCATATCGATTTGAAAAATTGAATTTCCTTGTGATGAGTCCTGTAAAATATATTGAACTTAAATTTAATTTTTAAAAACCTTAACTCTAAACAAAAATTATAAAGTTTACCAAAACAATAACATCAACTCCAGCTTGAACTAATAACTTTAATCTTAATTTGTCTTCGTTTCGTGTTCCAATTGTTGCACCCACTAAAAGCTGCCCATTTCCATCTTTTGATGCTAGAGGATAATCCCAGCTTTTTTTCATATCTGTACGAGCTATTATAGAAACTAATTCTCCTTTGTCATTTACAATTGGTAATTTACCTACAACAAAATCCATTTAAAATTTATTGTACAACTTCAGAAATATAAGATAAACAATACCATTCATTCCTTAACAGAAACTATTATTATCTACATATTAAATTCATACTATAAATCTGATTTTAATTCATATAAGATTTATATCAATATCAGAAATTTTATAGTTATAACAAAATAGAAAATACAAACTGCTAAAAAAATAACCGTTTTTTACTATTATTTTTATTATTATAATATCACATGTCTTACATGATTATCTTTCTGTATAAAGGGAATTTCAGAAATGTTTGGCCAAATTTCACAGATTTATAAGGAGGTAAAAACCTTAATAAAATAGTCAACGGCTATATTGTTTTTTTTAATCTTGATATTATCTTTTATTGTGAGACAAAGTGCCCTCTCACAATAAAAGATATCATCATTGAAGTGCCCTCTCACAATAAAAATAAAATAAACATTTTCCATATACAGTTGACCCCCCCATAACACTGTATACATACGTTCCAGTTTTTATGAATCCATTTTCTACGAGTCCAGTCAATCACAGCCCGGCACATATGCAGTTTACGGATTATGGCTGTTTGAAAGGTTTCTTCCATAAAATTAATCGATTCTAGACTAATTCGACTCAACATTTCCAAAATACGTATAATTTTTTGGCAGTAATCCATATAAACTATGCTATAAACAAAAAATTGTAGGATTACTTACCAAGCCTGCACCGTTCAACTACGCCATTGCTTAAGCTTGTTTTCATCGTGGAGCTTGTCATTGAATGGTGCTCGCGTGCTTCCTGATAAATTATTTTTTTTGCGAAAAATTCACTGAACTTTGGAGACATCATTAATATAAATATAATTTTTATGGACATTAAATAATAAATGGTTTTTAGTAGGTCCGCTGCTCGTTTAAACTCAATGGTTTGTACAATATCCGATATTGGTCTAGATTCAACCAATCCTGTCATGACATGAGTCAGCGATGACGTTTTACCGAATTATACGAGTTTTTTTAGCATGTTTGTACGAATACTGTTGCAATGCTTTTGCCATGATATAGGAATCCGAACTATAGGAACCCGTGTTATAGGGGATCAACTGTAATAATAATAATAAATAATAGTTTACACAATCTAAAGCTTAATTAGCTGATTATTAAGTGTCAAAGTGTAGTGACATCATTTCTATGTTTTAAGTCTAACTATGTAATATACGAGGGCTGTTCGGAAAGTTCGCGTCCTTGCCTATATGCGGCGCTGTGATCAATTTTATTTTTGGCAGGAATAATTCAGCCATATGTGCTAGAGATACGATACCAATTTCCGCTTGATTTGTCATAAAGTTTTGCCACGACAGCTTAGCAAATAGTAAGTGTGCACATGCTTTATCAAAAATGGAGAAGACGGAGACTCATGCGGTCATAAAATACCTGACGAAAAAAGGTTTGACCCCATCTCAAATCAAAGCTAACATGGATGAAGTTTTGGGAGAGTCTGCTCCTTCGTACACCACTGCGAAAAAATGGACAGCCCTTTTTAACTATGGCAGAGAGAGTGTGGAAGATGACCCTCGCAGCAGACGGCGGTCAACTGCTGTCACTGAAGAAAATATCGACAAAGTTCACAATTTGGTATTAGCAGATCGCCGTTTGAAAACGCATGAGATAGCTGAGACAACAGGCATCTCTGTCGACCGAGTGCACCACATCCTAACCGAAAATTTGGGTATGATGAAGGTCTCAGCAAGGTGGGTGCCGCATCTGCTGACCGCTGAGCAAAAACGTGTTCGCACTTTGATATCAAAGGAGTGTTTGGGCTTCTACCAGAAAAACCCACAGGATTTCTTGCGTCGGTTTGTGATTACTGACGAAACGTGGATCCATTACTACACTCCTAAAACAAAAGAACAGTTGAAGCAATGGAAACACCACAGTTCGCCACCACCAAAGAAGGCAAAGACAGTTCCATCAGCGGGGAAAGTGATGGCCTCAGTTTTTTGGGATGCTAAAGGCATCATCTTTATTGACTACCATTAATGCTGTCTATTACTGTGAACTTTTGGAAAAACTGAAGAAAGAAATCGAAGAAAAGAGGCCACACTTGAGGAAGAAAAAGGTTCTGTTCCACCACGATAATGCACCTGCACATTCTGCCAGAATCACTGAACAAAAGATAAACAAACTTCGCTTCCAATTAGTTACACATCAACCGTACTCACCTGATTTTGCCCCCAGTGATTTCCACCCTTTTCCAAACTTAAAAAAATTCTTGGCTGGAAAGAGATTCCACTGAAATGACAAAGTCATCTCTGAAGTTAACGAGTGTTTTGCACACCTTGACAAATCGACCTATTGTGATGGCATAAAAAAGCTAGAACATCGCTGGAATAAGTACATTGCTAACAAAGGATACTATATTGAAAAATAAAAAAAGTTTTAACATTATTTTGTTTTCTTGTTCTATTTGAGGCTGCGAACTTTCCGAACAGCCCTCGTATCTATAAAACATCTGTAAAAAGCACATTTCTGAAAATACAAGGATTAATACTCCTTTACAGTCACCATACTTTTGAAAGAAAATAAATCACGTCATAAATGCCTACAACTGCTGTAAACTGTATGGATACAATTGGTATTAATGAAGAATACACAATACACTTGAATCAGTGGTATCTATTGGTCTAGCTAATCTTGCAAATTATCTTCCATTTCCATTGTACTGACAATGTAAAAATAATAATATAAATTATGTTTGATACAATGTTATTGAATAGATATCTTTATTACATGAAATATAAATTTTAGAAACTGATACTTTATATAAATAGAAATAAATTTCACATGCTAAAATATACTCCAGCAATAATTTAATGTTGCTGGAGTATATGGAGTTTAAAGACGATTAATATAAAAACAAAAAACAATTTTAATAAACAAAAACATTTTTGTTAGATTGAAAATGATTTTGTTCATTAAAATTGTTGCTGGAGTATATTTTAAGATGTGAAATTTATTTCTGATATTCCCTTCAGTTGATAGAATAGTTATATTGATTTATATAAAATTCATATAGTTTACAAAGTATGATAATCAATTTTTTTCAATATTAATTATTGACATATGAATTATATGTTTTGTTTCATCAATACTAATAAATATTTCTTGAATTTCAACAATAACTTTTACTGAAATTATAAAAAGTTTAAATGTTTTATTTACACTGTATGAATGAAATTTGATTCTTTATGGACAAAACTATTTTCAGAAATTAATTGATAAAATAACATGACAATTGTTCAGGAAATCTATTTCTTAATTTGTTTAAAAAGTCTATTACCTTTTCTATATACAAAAAAATTGTTTCAGTTATTTGTTTTAAAAGTGGTAATACAAAAGATGATGCTAAAACATTATTTTTGATAATTGAAATATAATTAATCTTGTTATTACTTATTTATGATACATAACACTGTTTAATATCTTGCATTATTTGACTTTTAATAGTCTCAGACTAAAAGTATAATATTTTGTGCCTAAAAATGATTCTGTAACTTTTTAGCCAAATCAATTTATTATATTTAATAATACTAGTAATAAAGGGGGTGTGAAGCGCAATATAAGGCCATAACAAGAATGGCCTCTTAGCCTATCCATCTCAACCCTTCGCTCACTTGCACGTAGTGGAGCCTGTTAAGTCGAGTGTCGACGAACAAACAAGCATAAAGGAAGCCCTGCAAGAGTAATACTCCAGTGTCACATGGAGGAGGGCCTTCCGGGGCTGGGTGCTGCTGGAGGCAGGGCGGTATCTGTAAATAGCAGACGACCATCTGCCGCCTAAGGCCTGTAGTGAATCTCTAGGAGCTCAGGTGCTAGGCCACTGCCAAATCCCTGCTAAGCTTGGTTCCTCAGCCCAGGTTAGAAAAATGGGAAGGTTGGTGTCTGGTTGGCAGCCGACTGTAAAAACCCCAGCCAAATCTTTTTCTATGGAATGTCTGATGCCACTTTGAGATGTGATAATACTAGGGCGTACCCCATAGGCAACGCGCAGCCGCAGCACCCGGTGGCTGTGGGAAATGGACGAGGGTTGTTGTCTCATATAGGATGGGAACAATGTAAGAAGCGAGTCCCATTAAGAGTGGAAAGTTGGAAAATAGGGACTATGACAGGAAGAAGAGCTGAACTAGCAGATAGCTGAGAAGAAGAGTCAATATAGAGTGCTTGCAGGAGACAAAGTGGAAAGGGGCCAAAGCTAAAGAGATTGGCGAAGGGTATAAACTTTTCTACTATGGTAAAGATGGCAAGAGGAATGGAGTGGGGATAGTCATAGACAATGACTTAAAGAACGTAGTCATAGTCAATAGAGTAAATAATAGATTAATATTGGTGAAACTGAGTATTGGAGAACTGATAGTTAATGTAATCAGTGCATATGTGCTGCAAGTGGGTGTTAAAGAGCAATTTTGGGAAGATTTGGCTAAGATAATGACACAGGTACCGACAGATGAGGAGATATTTATTGGAGCGGACTTTAACGGGCATGTGGGAAAAAATAATGCTGGTTATGAGAGAGTACATGGAGGCAAAGGATTTGGTGGTAGAAATTTTGAAGGAGAGTGTGTTTTGCAAATGGCCATTGCCTATGATTTAGTCGTGGTCAACACTTATTCTGATAAATGTGAAGAGCATTTAATAACTTATAAGAACAGGGATCATAAATCACAAATAGACTACCTATTAATTAACAAGACTGACTATTCTAAAAGGGATTAAGGACTGTAAAGTGATACCAGGAGAAGACTTGACTAGTCAGCATGGATTTTTAGTAATGGAATTAATGATTGATCTTAATAGGATTAAGTATAAAGATAAACTGATACCTAAAATTAAATGGTGGTTGTTAAAAGGGGAAGGGTAATAGAGTTTAAAGAAAAAGTAATAAGCATTATTAATGGTAATGCAAAGTGCAATGACTCGGCAGATGAATGGTGGACACAGGTGGCCAGGGAAATATGAAGAATTGCAAAAGAACTTCTGGGAGAAACAAAGTCAGTTAGGAAAATAGAGAAGGAGGTATGGTGGTGGAATGAAGAAGTAAAGAAAGCTATAAGAGAGAAGAAAGATGCTTTAAAAGTTGGCAGAATGAGAAAGGAGATAATAAGGTAAGGGAAGAGAAAAGAGAGGGCTATGTGCAGATGAAAAAGAAGGCAAAGACAGCGGTTGCCATAGCTAAGGCTCAAGCCAAGGATGAAATGTATAGGTCACTCATGGGAAAAGTGGGTAGAAAAGCCATATATAGACTTGTGAAAATGAGAGGCAGAGGGAGTAAAGATATGACCTACATCAAGTGTATAAAAGACTCAAATGGCAAAGTGCTAACTAAAAATGAAGAAATTAAGGCCTGGTGGAAAACATACTTTAAAGACCTTATGAACGTGGTGAATGACAGACAAACTAACACTGAAAATGTAGAGCCAAATATTGGCCTTGTAGGCATAATAGAGAAATGGGAAATAAAGCTGGCATTGAATAAAATGAAAAATGGGAAATCAGTGGGCCTGGATCAATAGAGGTATGGAAAGTCCTAGGAGAGGAGGCAAGAGACTGGTTAACAGAGCTGTTTAACAAAGTACTGTTAGAGGGAACTATACCCAATGAATGGAGAAGAAACTATTTAGTACCCATCTTTAAAGAAAAAGGGAATGTGCAGGAATGTAATAATTATAGGGGAATAAAACTATTGGCTCACACAATTAAACTTTTTGAAAAGGTATGAACGGAGGATTAGAGAGGAAACTAGTGTCACTGAAGGCCAGATTGAATTTATGCCAGGGAGGAGTACTACAGATGCCATATTCGTGGTGAGACAGGTGATGGAGAAGTAGCGATCTGTGAGGAGAAACCTGCATATAGTGTTCATAGACTTGGAAAAAGCGTATGACAGAGTCCGAGAGAAGTCCTTTGGTGGTGCCTTAGGAAGAAAGGTGTGCCGCTTCAATACATTGTGACAATTGAAGATATGTACTGTAGGGCCAACACGCAGGTTAGAACTGCAGCTGGATTGATGGACATGTTTGAAGTAAGAGTGGGCTTACATCAGGGGTTAGCACTCAGCCCATACCGCTTCCTATTAGTTATGGATGTGATAACATCTGCTGTACAAGAGGACGTATCCTGGTGTGTGCTGTTTGCAGATGACATAGTCCTCATTGATGAGGGCAGGGAAGAACTACAGAGACGGCTAAACAAATGGAAACACGTGGAAAACACGTGTGGAAAACATGTGTAATTTTGACGGTCTCCCTGGTACTGGTTCCTTAAAACTAAATGGAATACCATTTCCAGAAAGTACTGAATTCTGCTATCTGGGATCTCTGCTGCAGAAAGATGGCAACATTGATAGGGAGGTTACTAGGAGGATCAATGCAGGGTGGTTAAAGTGGAAACAGGTGACAGGAATAACTTGCAATAAATGCATGCCACTTAAAATAAGAGGGCTAATATATAAAACTGTCATCAGACCTGTGCTTATGTATGGATGTGAGTGCTGGCCGATGACAGCCACCGAAGAGAAGCAATTGCATGTGGCAGAGATGCGAATGCTGAGGTGGATGTGCGGGGTCACAAGAATGGATAGAATTAGAAATGATTACATCAGAGGAAGTTTAAAGGTAGTATCTATCTCAGAAAAAATAAAAAGCCACAGACTGACATGGTTTGGACATGTGGTGAGAAGGAATGAGGAACATGTAACAAAAAAGGCACTAAATATGAAAGTACAGGGAGATAGAGGTAGAGGAAGACCTAAGAGGTGGATTGAATGTGTAAAAACAGATATGATGGACTGTGGAGTGGATGAAATCATTTAAATGAAATCAAATAAAAATACACTAATAAATTTCTGGCAACTGATGGTCAGGTACATTCTTTAATCAGAACAAAATTATAAGAGGAAACTTGAAATTCCTGTAACAACTGGACTAGTTTACTGAATGATCACATATGACATTTTGCATAGGGGCTTTTATTTACATTATTTACACTGCACTTGGTAATGAGAGTGCAATTTTGTAATATTCTTAGTTTATTTTGCTTAAATTTAACCCTATCCACAGCTTCTAAGAGAGACGAGAGTGTTGGTGGTGTCAAATGTTATTTATATTTAATATTTATTTAAATTTCTAGCAGTCCATGGATACTTTAGAAACATGGGAGGTGTATAATTTAGAGGTTAGAGGTGTTAATGAATTATTATACATGACTATGGCTGGTTTGGCAAACTGATTAATCCAGCAATGCTTTGGAATCAAGAGTGCTATAAATTTGGTGATGTATTGTAATATTAACTGATATTTTTACTAGGTTTATATTCTCAGAACAAACTTAATCAGTCAGAAGTATAGAAAATATTTAATTATTACTGTATTTCTTTAAAAAAATGTTATAAAACTACAAAATAAATACAAATAGACAACTATGCCAGAATTATTCTAATAATACAGTCAGATTAATAATTAAGCTAAAATTTAGCTAATTAATTCATTAGTCAAGTTCTAGCCAAATAATTAATCCAGCCTTATCATTTGATTACTATAAAATAAAATTTAACAAACCCTTTTTGCTCTGCTGTAATATTTCATGAGCTTCTACAAGGCTAACTCCAGCTGGAGCAACAACGAGATCTGGTGTTTTAGTCATTACCTATAATACAACAATATAATATAAATAAATAGTACAATATATAAATATTAAATAAGATATTAAAATATACAGAATAAAACAATCTAAATTATTTCAAAATGAATTATTACAATTTTAACTGTATGGATAAAATTTCCTATGTAATTATGGATAAATCTGTATGAACATAACTTCCAAAAATATAAGACTTCAAGTCAATTATCAATATTCTAAAGCATAACATTACATTTCCTTCAACTACTCAAATGAGGTATATGAAAATAAACACTGCACATATAACCAATATCTAGCAAGAAAAACTACAAGAAAGCAAATGTTTTTATCAATTTGTTTCCATCAGTTGCCAGAAATTTAGTGGTGTACCTTTATTTGAAATAACACAATTAGAATCATTGGACATTGTCAGGCTAACTGATCTTTGCAGTTTAAATGCAGCTGTTAAAACAAACAAAATTTATATATGGCTTCACTGGCCAAATATTATCATAAACTAGTCCTTTGCCTTTGCCATACCACAACAAAAATTAACTTCTAAATGAAATACTGCTCTAGGCTTCTTCCCATCTTCAATGTCTGTCTCCCTTCTGTGTGTGTGTGTGCGCGCGCGCGCGCGCATGTGTATCTCTGATCCACTATGTATGGAATGTTTGTCTTCGAAAAGCAATCTGACTCTCCAGGAGATTTAGATATGCCAACCTAATAGGACTCAAAAACAGCATCTGCCAGGTAGACCATCAATTATTACTCACCAGTGTTAACACACAAGTTTTGCAGAATCTGCTGAGTTGTGCCTCCAGAAACAGCACCAAAAACAGATTTTGTGCTGTTTCCATGCCTCCAATCTGGCATATATACTATCCCCATTACTGATCACTGAACCAACTGCAACTTACAATATTGTGGATGATACAGGGTGACCTTTAAACACCCACTTCAAAGAACATTGGACTTCCATTATAAAAACCTTCCCCTGTGACCCCAACATAGATGTATGTTTTGACTGAGCATGCCTTCTACATAGCACCTCCCACAAAGAATGACAGTTTTTCATTTGCATTAAATTAATATTAAAACACTAAACGTTTAAGTACCCACGAGTCAAGTTATCAAACTTAATAGTCCAATAAATGGCATCCGAATCCATAGCGCCAATGAATGTATGGATGGCGCAGTATCAATTCATTCAAGAAAACACCTTATGACACAGTAGCACTTCCGGCGATCACAAACTATCGTTAGTGAGACAAATCTACTTCTCATTGGCCAGATGATACTTTTTTATTAGCCAGATGATATCTATCTCTCCTTAGCCACCTTGAATTTTGCCACTCAAACTGACCTTATATTTGTGCTATGGCAACCGGTAGTCGACCAATCAGTTTCTCCGCTCGTCTGTAGCTCTACATCGGGTTAACATATCCTTTCTACTATGGAAAGTTTGACGGATGAACTTTGTGAGTTAGACAATAATTGGGAGCGAAGTGCAAATGTAAAAAGAAGCATCATTGCATCCATTCGACCATATTCCAAAATTCTCAATGAAAGAAAACAAAAATGTAAACAATTAAAGATGGATACTTTTTTCTGAAAAATGTAAGAGATCCGAAACTAAAATTTTTTAATAAAAACATTTCACTTTATTTTATGATATAATACATTTTAAAAATTAAAAATTTATATGTATTTAGTATTATATTGTATTAAACAAAATTATTCGCTTATTTTTCACTTATGTAGAACCTAATCCTATACCTCACTGTAAATATGGGTTCGTTTTATGCCGATTCGATTTGCACCGGCTTTTGTAGGAACGGAACTGTGTTGTAAACCGAGGGCTACCTGTATAGGGTTTCTGCTGGGACATCAAAAACTGGCAATACTAATGAACAGCTAATGCTAAACAGGGTTGACAATAATGAGAGTTCATTATATTTGGTTACTGCAAGGATATTGCATGGATCATAAGAAATAGCCTTGGAAAGCTGGATAAATCACCAGTTGGCTGGCCATCACAAGTCTAAATAACATGGTGTCCATCCAAGGGATGACATGGGACATGGGACAAGGGACACATGATTTAGTTACTATAGATACCCCAATGAAAAATGAAAGAGGAAACATTTTGTGTGAAATGCAATACAATGCTGGGTATATCATGTTTTGCTTCCTATCAAAACTATTATTTATGCTTTAGACCTAGATAAGCAATGCCTAACAAATATGAAAACAAATTTCCCAGTGACACTACATATAAAACTAAAGGCTGTTATACACGGTAAGGAAATCCTTTGAGGATTAACTGTGATTTTTTTTTCTATCTATCCATTTTTAAATAAAAATAATTCTTTATACATTGGGAGATATTTTAATAAGTTTTGTAAATTACTATGTTCGATCCAGCCAGTTATATCCAAGTTTTTTTCGTCTGTTAAGCACATCCTTTGAGGATTTTCTTACCATGTATAACAGCCTTAAAAGTTGGTAACAGAAAAAAAATAAATATTACTGTAAAAATGTAAAAAATGGTTTAAATAACTTGAATAATCAATGTCCTCAGATAGAGAAAAAAATGTCATGTGTCTAATTATTGTCATCACTCTAGAGTAAAATAGTATCTGACACAAAGAATGCATCAAACTGCTATGAAAAATGCCTAAGATTGATTGTTTAAATTCAATCCTAGGTCCTGAAGAGCAGTAAGCTGACCTAGCCATCTAATCATCTTAGAAAAGTTATTTAAAATTTTTTGTTTAATTGGAATTAGCTAAAGAATTCATTCAGATTCAATGTTCTTTATAATTAAAGTTCAATTTATATGGATATTTTAAATTTTGTTAGAAATATAGTTATAAATTATGAATGAACCCTAAATCAGTGGTTCCCAAACTTTTTTGATTCTAGGCACCCTTGCTAAATGCAGATTTTCCCAAGGCACCCTATGTCAAATTCTAACAAGTATATTAAATTCTATTATAAAAATTTTATAACGTTTCATGGTGCCGCAGTGACCTTATATGTGTGCTATGGCGACCACCGGTTGCCATAGCACACATAAGGTCACTGCAGTGCCCTAAGGCACCACAGTGCACACTTTGGGAACCACTGCTCTACTGCTCTATATCCTATTTTTAAAATAAAGATTAAAATTATAAATACAATACCAGTAATTCATAATACATTTCACATTGAATTAAAATTTTACATAATAATAATAATAAATTCAATTTACTATCATTTTAAACTTTAAATTGTTTTTGAACATTCATAGTATGAATAAAATTTAAATATCTTGGAAGAATCATTTATCTTAAAAAGTACATACAGTATATACAATGTATGAATACTATAATAATAAAATTTAATTAAACTTATGAAATAAAAATTAAAATATTCAATTTACTTCTGAAAGTGGAAGATCAAGCATACTTTCTTCCATAAAATCAATATCTCTATAGGTAACAATTCCCAATAATTTTGCTCCCATTTTACCATTTTCTGTAACAGGAATACCAGCAAAACCTTGAACTTTTTTTACTTCAAAAACATCTCTCACTTTATTGTTTGGACTCAAAACAATTGGATTATGAATAAATCCATGTTTATATTTCTAAAATAAAAATAAAAAATGTAAGTAACAAATTATGTATTTCATCAGAGTTATTAAAACGTACAACGTATTGTGCTGTAATTTGTAAAACTGCATTTTTTGCTTTTTTTTCAAAATCCTTAACTTGAATTTAACTTTTAATATTTATATTTAATATGGTAAAATAAGAATTTTTAGAAATATTTTTATTATAGAAAAATTATAATCATTAAATTATTAACATTTATCATTTAAAAATTATATATTTTATTAAAATAGAGTAGACCCCCATATAAAATGGGTTCATATAATTCGGATTCGTATATAACGGCGAAAAAATTGCGACCGTATTTGTATAAACAGGCTAAAAGAGACTCCTATATAATGGTAAAACGTCATTGCTGACTCGTGTCACAACAGGATTGGTTGAATCTAGAAGATATTGCACAAACTGTTGAGTTTAAACGAGCAGCAGACCTACTAAAAACCATTTATTATTTAATGTCCATAACAATTATATTTATATTAATAATGCCTTCAAAGTTCAGCAAATTTTTCGCAAAAAAAATAATTTATCAGGAAGCAAGTAAGCGCCATTCGATGACAAGCTCCACGACAAAAACAAGCTTAAGCAATGGCGTAGTCGAATGGTGCACGCTCGGTAAGTAATCCTACAATTTTTTGTTTATAGCATAGTTTACATGGATTATTCCCAAAAAATTATACGTATTTTGGAAACGTTGAGTAAAATTAGTCTAGAATCAATTAATTTTATGGATGAAAACCTTTCAAACAGCCATAGTCTGTAAACTGCATATGTGCCGGGCTGTGATTGGCTCATGTATTTAAGGACTCGTAGTATATCAATTTCATAAAGAATGGAACGTATCTACCTTGTTATGGGGGTCAACTGTATTTAAACTTATTTTAACAATATATTGTAATTTTCAATATAAACATTTATTTACATATAAATATTTTAATAGAAAATATTGCCTTGTAACATAATTATATGAATTTATTTAGTGAAAATTAATTTAAAGTTGAAAAACTTAATATATTATAAAATAATTGTATATTTGAATTGAATTTGTGTTAAGCAGTTTCTAATATTTTTCACCTTGACTTTATATATTTCATTTGCTTGAAATTCAGCTGTACAATTATTATGTATGATTCCTATACCACCACAAAGCTGAAAAAATAAAAGCATTTATTATTTCCTTCATAAAATAGTATATCAATATTTTATAAAAATTATGTTAACAGTGATAGTTAACTAATGAAATTATCTAACAAAGAATTAAAGATGTTATAACATAAATAAAAACAGATAATGAATTTTATAAATAATAAACACAACTCCAATAAGAAAATTCTGCTTTATTGGAGTTCACTTACATTTATATAAGTTTCTCTAGCACTTTCACAGCTAGAAGAAAACATAAGTTTTTCTAAAAAAAGTTATAAAAATTCAATGGAGTCAGAAAATTTCTTCTTTTGTTTTCTTACATAAAATGTAAAATTACGAAAAAATTATATTTTTCTTTCCTTTCTGACTTTTGGATAATATAAAACTTCAATTTTTCAAAAAACAAGCCAATAATGACTATAAAATTTTTAAAAAACAGAGTTTAAAAAGGTATAAAAAAGAAAATAATCTGCAGAGAGAAAAAAATCTTTATTTACATCATTACTAACAAGCTTCCCAAATGCATTTCGCCTATGGCCTCTTCAGTGGGGCTTACAGCACAAAATCTACGTTCAAACAGTCAACTCATTGAAGAGCCACTTATACAGTTAACAAAAAACTCCCAGCATGCCGCTGTTAACATTCCGGTATTTAAATTAACATTATTGTTTTGCATAATTATAGCGAAGTGTTCTTTTACCTTTCGCTTTACAATATTTTTTTCCTTAAAAATTATTTTTAATTTATTAATATTAATAAATTAAGTGAAATTAGTGAGAAAGGTTTTGTGCTGATAATCTGATAATCTTTTAAACATTGTATAAGTTTTTCTAATGTTATCAAAATAAATATTACATTTCCTGAAACAAAGTATTAATTACAAGATTGTGATAAAAATTCCTTCATTTCATGTGCTCATTGTAAACAATTAAAATTGTAAATTGTAAACAATTTGTTTTAAAGGCCGAAAACGTTCGTACTCCAGTTAATAAGGCTAGAAATTAGTGAGAAAGGTTTTGTGCTGATAATCTGATAATCTTTTAAACATTGTATTTTTCCTTTAAATTTATTTATATTAAACCATAAAAAGTAAAAGTTCTCATATAAAGCATTTATATATATATATATATTATTAAATAATGTAATATTTCATCAAATGATCTGAAGTGAATATTGCCATATATAAATAAACTATCATGTTTTTGTGCATATAACCTGCAGGTTATTTATCTGCATTTAAAATACAATTTGAAAGGGGGTTGTGTTATGTGATGGAGAAAATTATGAAAAGATTTTGTTTTGTTCTAGTAATTCCTGTGGGTTATATGCATAAAAATATGATTGTAAAAGAAAAAAAAACCTGTCTAGATCAGTGTTTCTCAACCATTTTCTCATTGCAGACCCATAAACTTATGAATAATTTTACATGGACCAGTAATTACTGTATATGTGACTATGAGTTATGCATATTTATTATGCTTATATATGCTTATTTAGAGTTACTGTACTGTACATATATTAACTAGATTACTTTTTAAATGATACCTATAATCAGTACAATCAAATATTTTTCTGTGGACCAATGAAATTTTTTCACTGATCAGCGTTGATCCATGGACCAGTGGTTGAAAAGCATTGGTCTAGACTATAGAGTAATTCTATCTTTTTTATACACGGTGCAATAGTTATAGTCTGCACATAAACAGCCACATCTTATGTAAGTGGCAATTTTTTTCACAAATGGCCTGTAATATATATATATTTTTAATTGTATTACTACATATTATTACAATAAAATCATAAAAACTAGTATTGAATGATTATACTAACAGCCATAGCTATTGACAATTCTGATTCTGTAACAGTATCCATAGGTGAAGATACTATAGGAGTATGAAGGGTAATATTTTTTGTCAGTGGTGAAGTTAAATCCTAAAATATATAAATTATTATTAATTTATTCAAGTACAGTTATATTTATTATAACATCTTTAAAAAATTTGTTTTAATTTATAAGTTAGAATACTCACAACTTCGTCGACTGTGAATGAAATATAACCAGGCAAAATTAAGAAATCACTGTAAAGAGAAAAGCAGATTGCTTGCAATTGATATAATTTATCTATTGTTTTTTAATTTAAAAATTAAAATTAGTATAATAAAAAATTGCCTGTAACACAAACACACTTTTTGTCAGTGGAGTGATTTTTATTCTTTAATAAGAATTTATTTTTATAAATTAAATTATATTTTATAATAAAGTTTTCTTTTAAAACTTATACTGTTTTAATGAAAATTTTTATGTTTAAAAAATAAGATGTTAAGATTGATAAAAAAACAACTATCTGCTAAATGTTCTTTTGACTTCTATCTGCAAATATCAAAAATACATAAATAAATAAATAGTGATTAAGTTCATGTGCATGAATTTTTTAAAATATAATTTGATTAATATAATATGAAATAATATAAAACTGTAATTAGGATTTCCAACTGTTTGGAATTTTCTGAACTGTACAGAAGTTCAGTTAATTTTTAAAAATTGTTTGGAAAATGAAAACTGTTCAGAAATGTTCTGAAAAATGAATGAAGAGAAGTAGGTGCTTTTCCAGCTCATTACTTTTTCTTCATGAAAAGTTTGCACCTCTACTTGTAATCTAAATTATATTCATTCCTGCTAGTTTACATATTTTTTCTCCTTAGTTTTGTCTCTTTTTGTCCTTTGTGCACTAAGAAAACTTTTTCTTCAAACCCATTTGTGGATCTAGCTCAGTGGTTCTCAAAGCAGGTGCCGCGGCACCTTAGGGTGCCACAAGAACGCCACAAGGGTGCCG